GAAGTTTTCTGAATTATTGTGAACAAAAACTTCAAATTATAAGAAAATATTGTTTTGAAATTATAAATACCGAAATGTCAACCAGATGTCAAAACACATGATGGTCAACCAATGAACTGTCATTGCAAGTGAAACTGTATTCATGATGAAAATAGTTCTTGTGAAATTTTCGTAAACGCCATATAATAAGGGATTGTGACATAAAATATAATCAAAAGCTAAAGTTGCAGTGAACATCAAGACAATCCGTCCATGGAGAGTTTTCAATTCTCTGACGAAAGCATAAATTATGACAACAGTGCTCAACATTATCACTGCTGCAGAGAATACTAAGGAAATGATAAGAGAATAAAATTAATTAAATGAAATGATGTAAATATTGAAGCTTACCGATTAAATAAAATATTTTTTTAAAGTCGTGGTCATATTTGCAATAATTAATTTTCCATTCGATCTCACCATTAATCTTCTCATCTTGGAAGCAGAATTTCTCTTCATTATAATAATAATCATCAACGTACAAGTAATTATACTGGAACTTTAAGAAAGTCGTCAATAAAAGTGTCATTAAGAAAGTTACTATAATTCTACCGTGTACATTCCTGTGCCATTATTTGTGTAAATTGTATGAGCAACACACGAAGGTTTCCCATATAAAATTCTGATGCTTCTGTTCAATGATTCGCTAGCACTATACTCGAAATCGTCAGGAAGTTGCAGTAAATTATTTAGATGAAAATTCTTTTTGATAAAGTCGTCATTACATGTTGAATGGTTTTCACAACAAAATCTTACACAGTGATCACTTGTGTTACATTCATTCTTAAACTTTTCCTTTTTCTTAAGCATAAAAGCTACAGTAAGTATAATAATATATGAAAAAATAGCGATCAATACATAATCTCTTTTCCTTAACATTCTGAATAAATTTAAAGCTATTAGATTCAGCGAAATGAAGTTATCAAATGAACGAGAAGATTTAAAAAGGAAACAAAAATAAAGCGCTGTCGACTAAAGAGAGAAACCCTTGAGAGTGTTCGTTTTGGGAATTTCAAATAAATTTTGTTCTCATCTTTTCCTATTCAATTCAAATAGGTACTTTAATTTGGCTCTTAGTTTATCCACATATTTTTTGAGAAAAGTTTAGAAGTTTTAAATATTTTTTTTGTCACTCTATTTATTTCCAAAAGCGATGATAACGAATCGTGACGTCACCGGGAATTTTATTGTACATGCTTACAATGATTGTAATGAAAGAAGATTATGTAAGAGAGAAAAGTAATTAATGTATGCAAATTTAAAAGAAACAAGAAAACTTCTTCTACAATCGACTATATTTCTTTATTTGGTTTCATTTTTCGGAATGTTATTAGGATTTGCAAAAGCATTAATTAAGCTAGCTTAAAATTAAATAACTGAATCGCTTGCAATAGCATATTTCATATTTAAAAATATATTTAAGACAAATGTGGATGCTTTTTCAAGCACTCACTCGTTTCTTGTTTAATTGTTTGGCCAATTATCTTCAGAATTTCACTTTGTTTCAAATCATTGGCATTCGAAATTTTTTCGCAAAGCTTAAAATATAAATTATTCATAATCTCTTTAATCATGACATCGGACGGTGATGCGTCAGACTTTCCGTCAGTTTGTGATTCTTTCGATGCGTTATCACGTTGCTTTTGACTTTTCTCCAACGATATTTGAAGCTCTTGAGCGTGTCTTTGGGACACTTTCAATTGAGAATTCAAATCAGCGAGATCAGCTTCATTATTTTTCAATTGAATTTCGCGCTCTTCCAACAAATCTTTCAATCTCCCTTCCAACATTAAAATCTTTTCGTTTTTATTCTCTAATTCTAATGATATGTTTCTGTTTTCTTGTTGTACCATTTTCAGTTGAACTTTCAGCTCATTAAACTCGTCAGCTGAATGTTCATTTTTACCCTTTTGCCTTTCCTGCTCCATGTTGCGAATTATCGATTTTAAGTTTATATTCTCACGTTTTATCGATAAAATTTTCTCTTCAAGTCTCATAATGTCTTCTTCACGTACACTGTCGTTGTTGTTCCGGTCATTCGAAGACATGCTCACGCTGTTTCCACTAATAGTTTCAAGCTTATCGCAAAGCTTATCTAATTTGCTGTCAAGTTTTGACAAATTGAAGCGTATTTCAGTATTTTGCATCATCATCAGATTCAGGCTTGAGTCGGAGGAAGCAGCGGAAATGATATTATTGCCATGGGAATGCTTAACAAACTCTACAGTCTGAGCTGTTGAGTGTGGAATTGGCCCGTGGTTCAGCTTGGCAACTTGTAAAACAGGTGAACTATTTGGCCTTCGCTTTGGACTGCTTTCAGGATCGCTACTGTCACTCATTTCACTGTTTGACGTCTTGTTCGGTAGAACAATTTTCTTTCCCATTCGTGCCATTCGTGTTAAAATACTCGCTTTCATCGCTTTAGTTTGTTTCTCTTCCGGATCTGTTTCACATGCTTTGTCACTCGTTCCACCGTCTTCCTTGGCATTTTCCGTTTCATTATTCTCACTTTCATTGACCTTGACAATATCGTTGGCATTGATTGACTTTTCCATTTCATCCATTTGAATTGTGCATCGTTCTTCCAACAATCTAACTGCCTCGTCACGATCGTTTTCATTCTCGAATAATACGCTCCAAAAGTTTTGATGTTCATCAAGATATTGAATAAAGTTTCCTTTTTGAAAGATTTTATTTGATTCTTTGACAATTAATGTTGAGAGCAAATCAATTTTCGACTTGTAGAGAATCATTTTCAATTCACTTTTGTCACTTATTAATATTGCAAAGCCGAGCTTGCCAATAACAGTATTAGTGTTATTTATGACTTTATAAGCTGTGACAAGTTTTGCGAGGAGAACTTGCCAATCGGTCTTTGACTCGGAATCAGTCTGAGATTTTGTGCTCTTGTCGTCGTCACCGTCTCGAGGCATACCTGTCATGTTTGTTTTTCTGTCAGCAAAAAAACGTAAAAATGGTAAAATTCTGATTTTTTCATAAAGGAAAAATATTTTTTGTGACTTTCAAATTAATTTTCTTACCCTTCCAAATCTTCATCCTCAGGCTTAACATCCATGGGATTATTACCACCGAATTCCTCGTCATCTTCATCCGAAAAAATCATATAAAACGAAGCCATGTTACTTATTTATTCACTTATCACGATTTGTCAGAATTTCTTCATTTTTCAATGCACCTATATCTTTGTACTGTGCATATATCTTACTGCAGTGTTGTAAACATTAAAAGTAAAACCTTTGAAATTGTATTGTTTCATCGAAATTACAATTTTCAGAGATCGGTGAATCGACTAACGAAAAAGACCGTTGAAACCGTCGCTTGAATTTCCATGTAAAGTCAGAGTTCGTTCCTCCATGCTGCAGGGAAATTTATTTAAATTGTAAAATTAATATAAATTATTAATAAATCACACATCACACTAAAAGATTTAAGAGACTAAGGACTAACACAATATAAAGGTAACTAAGCTAGCCTTCATGAAGCTACTATATTATATAAATTTACATTTCAATTTACTTTTGAAATTTTAGGAATCCTTAAAATGATAAATGAAAGTTACGATGGAAAGGAAACACCAAATAAGAAACGAAAACGTGAATGCATATCGCGTTTTGTGAGCTCAACACCCATAAAGACTGCAAATAAAGAAAACTTTGCATTTTCCGATTCTTTATGCATGGAAGTTAAATCTATTGCTGAGCTTGTCGCTGAAAGAAATTCAAGTAAATTGCAAAAGGCTAATGACTTTGAAGTTATAAGAAAGCCACCAAAGAAGAAGAAAAAGAATTCTGAAGAATGTTGCTTTGTCAATCCTTGCTTAGATTTGAAAGTTAATGAGAAAGTAATTAATCCATTTGAAGTTGTCAGAAGTGACAAAAGTGAAGCGATCAAACTTGCTCATGGTGTTTCCAATGCTGGACTGGATGTTGATGCTCTTCCAGAACAAATCGATGCATCAAAAACTTCAACAAATCCTTTTGAAGTTGTAAGAGAAATTGAGTTGCCGAAAGAAGTCAAAGGCATTGACAATTCAGCATTGGAAATTAATCCACCAACTCACACTCCCCTAATGTTACCATTACCATTCACACCAACCGTTAACCATCGCATCGATTTCTCACAAATGCCTTGTAACTTAACTCCAGTCACATTGTTAACTTCAAAACTTGTTCTGGAAAATAATGAAACCGAAGCAGCTATCGGAACACCAAAAAAGATTCCAACAATCAATGCTCGCAAATCTTTGTCCGTTATCAGTGAAGAAGCTGAAATTGATATCAAACAGGAGTTAGATAATTATCAGTTGCAACTTGAAAATTCTATTAACGAGGCTAAATTACAAAACCGGAAGTTTGAATTAAATAAGACGGAAGCAAATCAAGAGAAACCGGAAACCAAAGAAGAAGAAGAAAACAAAGCGGTATCAACATCTGTTGCTGTTGTCAATAATGCAACTTACACCAAAGAAACTGTTGAATGTTGTTCTATCAAGGAAGTCACTTCGATCACTGTTGAAGTAAGGAGAGAGACCAACATCGATGATGACAATAACGACGATGTTCAGTTCGAGGAAGTTGATTCGTTTGAAGACGATATTGGAAAGCTTGGGCAGTTTAAGCGAGCTTATCGTGTTGAAGCGCCATCGACTTTCAAACGTCCAACTTCTAAAACTTCAACTGAAACTCAACCAAAGAAGTTAAATCTGGGCGGATCAATTAGACGAAGCATAAGAAAATTCATCAATCATAAGTCTGATAAAACAAATGAAGATGAAAGTGACAAACATGGAGGAATATTTGAAACAATTCGTCATAGTTTGAGACGTAAACCAAAACCAAAGGCAGAGCCAGTCAACTTTGAAAATTCCGTCATGGGACGAGCAGTTTTCAAACAAACTTCAACCGAAGATGGACCAAAGAAAACTTTAGAACGAAGCACACTTAAACGTCATGTCGTGAAGACAATGAAAACTTTCATGGAAAATGTCGAAGAGTTTGATCATTACTGAGTAAGTTGTTGTACTAATTAATTAACTATAAATTTAATTACCGAGTTTTCATTGAAATCTTTTGTTATTGCTACATTTTTAATTAATTTAACTTAACATAATTTATATTGTCGGTTGAGATGAACAAAGAAAAAATTAACATGGGCAACATAAATATTTATGTTGCATTCTATGTATTGCAGAACATAATTTGATTTGTAACTTCATCTAAAGTCTCACAAAAAGTATTAAAAATCAATTAAATTATTCAATTATCTCAGTTTATTTATGATAATTTAATTTATTTCATGAAAATTATTTTGGAAAATGAAAAAAAAATCCAGGTTAATAAATTAAGCTTAATTTCTTCAAAACAGAACAGAAAATCATTTAAGACGCTCATTAAAATTCAGGTTAAGAAGTGTAACGAGAGTAAAATTAAATGGGTTAAAGCATTCTGCTGCTTCACATCAATTTTGCATAAAGAAGCAATAATAATTTTTTCCTTTCTGTTCATCTTTCGAAATTTCAAAGGAAAGGAATTTTCAACCCTTTGAAGAGATTCAAGATATGCTCGATGTTGGACTTGTGGATTAAAATCATATAAAAAATAATTTTATGACTTTAAAACTTCTCATAAATTCAGCGATAATAATTTTGAGCAGCACGAATGAAATTATTTATAAAAAGCCATTAAGAACAGATATCCAAGTTTTATTCATTCACTGTGACTTTTTTTCTTTCACTTTTTCACATTTTTTTAATGCTTTACAAATAATAAACATTTTTTGGTAATAAATCAGAAAAAAAAGAAAATTACTTTCGACTTGTTTTCATTTTTAAAATAAAATTTTGTTTCAGGAATTCAAGGATGTGAAATGAGTTTTCTGACTTCAATGTTTTGTTTTTAATTTTCTAATCCATTATTTGTAACTTCGAAGTTTAATGTGGAAAAATAAAAAAGAAAGGTTTGTGTCTCGTTCTTTGCTGGGCGACTCATTATGTTGTCTGCGTAAAGATTGAATGGCAGGAAAAATTATTACACAACATTATGCCCAAACATTAAAATTAAAATCAAACCCTTTTCTCCTGAATTTCACTTCCATGAATGGTTATTGAAGATATTTATTGTTATTGCTTGGTTTTCTTGGGTTTGTGTTTTAATAAAGACGCTTTTGTCCCGTAAAATAATTATGATTTTGATCATTAGAACACAGTTTAAAGCACCGGAGAGAAACGATCATTAGCATTTTCGAACGATTTAATCGGTCGCTGTCGGTGAATTTATTAAAAACATTTTAAACTTTTATAGAAAATTTCTTAAATGCAAAAATTATAAAGAAATATTTTTGTTAGTTGCTGGCGATGTTTGAAGAATAGTGATTAGAATTTATAATTTTTCTCGCATCTCTAAAACTGAAATAATGAGAAATACGGAAGAAAATTAATGAACTGTTCATTTGTAGGGAGAAATTTTACGGAAATTTTATTCATGAATCGAAATGGTGAAAAGACGCATCATGTCCGCAAACTATGAATTCAAATTTTTTACATTCATTTTCTTTTATAACATCTACGCAAAAATATTGCGATATTTTAAAACAAGGAAATTCTGATCACGTTTTGTTATCACTGAACAATTTTTCACTGGCCACTCAACAGTCAATTTTCTATTCACATCTTCGAAGGAAAAAAGGAAAAATTTTCACTAAATAAAACATGATACGATGATGGTAAAGATGATGAATAAGTACAATTTTCATGTCATTTATCAAAAAGATGTCTAAGTGCAACAAGAGTCGAGGTTGTATCCTTTTAATGTCAGAAGGATATTCGTTTTTTTGATAATTCGATCTCAAATTTCCTTTTAAACACATACAAAAGATCACAAAAAGAAAATCTTTTTATTTATTTCTTCACCATTACCGTGTTTTATTTCATCAATTTTTCAAAATTCATTTTCGATGCTTGTCAAACATGATCTTGCTCATTAATATTCTATTGGCTTTTCCGGGAGCTGCCGCTTTACCCTTTCTTTTAACTGTTGGACGAAATAAAAAGCAACACATTTCATAAATTATGAAAGAAAATATCGAAAGCCGTCAATCAAATCAAACAGAAATCATTTCTATTCTTCAACCCTTTCATTTCATTCTCTCAATTCATGGCACAATAAGCCGAATAAATATTTTATGAATTTATCGGATATGTTGATGCCGTCTTGGTGTATTTATTGAGTTAAACTATTAGTTTGCCTCTAATGTGGGGATGATTGTACTTTGAGTTGTTTCATCTCAAATTTCCCCGACAGATATTTATGCTGCTCCGAGTATCATTTTATGAATTCACAAATCGTTTCCAAATAATTTTTGTTCATTCTTTGTTTTCTTTTAATTTGATTTTCATTCGTGACAGCCCATTTTTGGCATTTGCAGCAATTCAGCAAAAAGTTATGAACATTAATATTTTCCTAAATATTATTTATTAAATTAATTTAATGCTTTTCTATTAAGAAATATTTGTTGCTGTTGCATTTAGACATTTAGACATTTAGGTAGCAAATGGAGATATTCATTGGTACTATCAAGAACAAAATAATTTCCGGATCACATGACACCCTTTTATGCTTCGCTTGTTGATATCATCGGGCATAAGCAGAAGACAAGCTGAAAAAAGATAGTCGGAAGAATCCCCTGTTAGCGTAACAAAAAGGAAAGGATTTGTCTTTGAAACAGCACAAACTTTTCTAGTTCAATTGGCGCAAATCGAGAATAATAGAAAACGTGCGAGAAATATTTCATGAATTTATTGATATAAATTGAAGATGTTGTGTTTAGTGACATGAGAAATAAATAAAAGTTTTACCTTATTATAGTTTGAAATTGGAAAAATTTCGTCTTGAAGCCAAGAAAAATATTTTCGATTATAAAGATTCAAGTTTTGTCACTAGAAAAAAAATAAAATTAATTAACGATTTACCGAAATATCTGCTAACTCAACAGAAGACAATTTGGAAACATTATTAGAAGGGTGTAAACAGAACAACTCATAATAATTTATTAAACATTAAAATGATGCATTCTGCGAGTGTTGTGGAAATAAAACTATCGGATAACTCAACATAAGAATTTCTGCTCATCTCGGCATATTTTATTTCAATAGAAACACTTATAGAGAGAAATAAACTGGGGTTGGTGAAAGTGATTTTTGCTAGTCTCTTCCATAAGTGAATTATGATGATTGCTGTATATTATTTATGATTATTGTTCTGTTTGTGCTTTGGGAAATTAAATAGAAGCACGTGCTTTGCTCATGTGTGATTCGACATTGTTGAGACCATTGAAATATTAAGCAGATACTTGAAGTGCCAGAGTGAGATTCATGCGACCATGGAACGCAACGCGAGTGTATCATAAAAAACCATAACAATAAATCTCAGCGCGGGCGATGTGCAGATGCAACAGCTCAGGCAAATTAAGAATTATTATAAACACAGTAATAGATAATTTTTTATTGAATTACACGAGCATTATGATGTGCCAACCAGGCCATTGGCCGATAAAAAAAATGAAGAGAAAGTGAAATATTTTGAGGTTTACCAACTCAACAACAAACCCAGCCCAAAACGTGTTTATGGCATGCAATTTCAACATTTCAGTTAAATTGAATTTTCCCGAAAATTATCATTTCTAGGAATGGCATTTAATTATTTTTTTATGGACATTTATTGCCACCTTAAGAATGTTATTTTACATCTATGATTTGTGTTTGCGTACAAACTAAAGCGATTTAAACTATCAACATGTGTGGTTGATGGGCAATTACAAGTTGTGGATCGAACAGAGGGATGAACGGAAAAGGATTGTTCCAAACACATTATGGAAATTATAGCTGTGAGGCTTAAATTAGGAATCTATGTGACCCATTGTCGTGAAATGAAAATGAATTTCGCCTTCATTCATCATAAATAACAGAGCGGAGAAAACATTTTGAGTTTCCGAAACGACGTTGAGCAACTCAAAGTCAATTTAATTTAACATGCGTTGTTATTCCAAATTGATTGCGGGGTGAAACCAATGCAATGGCTTACATATCGTCAACGTGTGTTTATGTTAAATACATTATGATGTCATTTAAATGATTTTGAATTGTAACTATTTATGTGGAATTGTTTTGTATGCTTTGATAAGGACGTTTTGAAACTTAGAAAGCTATTTAGAATTACATTAATTACTTCTTTGTTACTCTACTTATAAGGGCAAGTTATCATAAGTTGAAAGTCTTGTTTCAACATCAAACCAGCACTCAACATAAATTCATGTTTCAAATTATCTACAAAACATGACTGCAACTGAATGAAAACATAAATTTTACTTTTTATTCTAATGAAATTCGCGATGACAAAGTCAATAGGAGAAACTTCCACAACATCATAAATTTAATTTCGTAAGAATCGAAAAACACTTTTTCGCCAGCATAAATTTAAAATTTTATTATTTCATCGCCCAATTCTTCTTATCTTAAAATGAAAATGTTTTCTAATGTTGTTCCATGTCAGTAAATGCATTCCCTTGATAATTCACTAACTAATTTGAATTTCTAAACTGATCTATCATATTTTTAAAAAAATAAAACAAAAATCGACTTCGAGTTGAAAGGAAGCTTGTGGAAAACCATGAAAATTAATTAAATTCTTAGCATCGTGTCAATCGTAAAAAAAAGTTTTACAATTCAAGAAACATTTTTATAGTTTCCAGGAGACGTTTACGATGTTTTCTGATCCCATGAAATCCTTTAAACTCGCAGTCTAGCAATAAAAAGCTGGAAAATCGTTAAAAACATTCTCAGAACTTGATAACGAAGCGAAGCAAATTTTAATCGCGCTTTGAAGTTGAGTGTTTATTATTTATTGTTTAAAAATATTTTTAAATCATTTTCCTTCGCCCCTTTCACGTTGCTCGTTCTCACCACCCTGAAACATTACATAATCGCATCGACAACCTCTCGATGAACGGCACTTTAATCATCCGAACGAGGGTAAATGAAAAGATATAAAAATTATGTTTCATTCGAACGAAACATAATTTTTATGAATACATAATTCATTGACAGATCATCCGTTTGCTTACTGTTTCAGGGTGAAATGAATTTGTTAGCTTGTAATGTTTTCACCGACAGAGATAAATGTTGTGTTCACAAAAATAAATTTCACAATATTTACGCCATTAAAAATTTTCCCGCATCGATAAAAAACTTCATTCGAACGCAATTTATTTCAAATTGAAACAAAATTCATTCTCAAAATCAATTCATATAAATTATGTACATATAATGAAATTTGTGAATGAAATGGAGTTCCTGGAGGAAGTTCTAATGTGCGCACATTAGATTGAGAGATTTCTGGTTGAAAATGAGATGAATTTGACAGTCTAAAGTTCCAGTTGAGCACGCGAAATCGCATATTTATGATCTGTTATGATGATTTTATGCGATACACATAATCCATCCAAGGAATAGCAAAAAGGGTGAAGACAAGACATTTGGGAAGTTTCACTCGTAGATAGCGACTTTACCCCAATCGGCCATAAATAACTTTCCATTCGCTGTTTCGAGTTTTGTCTTCTGTCGATGATTCTGTTTCGTCTTTCAAATGATTTTGAAATAAATTCCGCATCACTGATTTTTATGATCATATCTAAGCATCATAAAAGTAATACGAGTATGAATTGATATGGAGCAACAGCAACATATCCCATTATGTCTCTATTGTATAAAAGAAAGAATCTTTTAGGTAATCAGCAGAGAAATGAATGAATAGAAATTTCTTTGTCGCTTCCTTTGACAACCAATAAAAATCACCAACGCGAAATATTTCCCGAAAATAAAAAATCTTCCGTCATCTTTTTCAAGTCATAAAAAGGGATGACTGAAAGTACTTTGCCGGAAGTTTGAGATGTTTATTGAAATTCAATTCAGTCAGTATTGGAATTCACGGAATTGAATTGATATGGAGAATAATTTTGGTGTTGTTGGGGAGTGATTGAAGGAATTGGGTCAATAGTAAAACTTTTCTCATAGTTTTTGCATAAATATTTTATTGATTAGCATCTAAGTTGATAAACTTTTCCTTTTATTCAAACAAATAGGCTTTCATTAGAAAACTTTTCTGTAATTTTATCGATTATGTAAAAAAAACATCCTGGCAATTGTCATTGACAACTCTCTGAACACATTTCATAATAAAACAAAAATTTGTATGTTCACCGACCACATTTATGAATCGTCACGCTTCCATTGATGCTACTTTAGATTTGACAAACAATCTTCATGACTTCCTTCTATTTTCTGACCCTAGCTGAATCGCTCAAAAAGGAATAAAAATTATGTTGATGAAATATTGATAATATCAATAATATGGCATTGTTAAGATCGTAACACAATTTAAAGATCGAAATATAAAACAGCTTAAAGTGGTTCATGTTATGAAATGACATTTGGAAGTGAAAGTTTCTTTTCTCATTCCTTTTGGACGAAAGAAAAGGACATAAAACCGAAATGATATGCGACTATAAAACCAGATATTGTCATCAATTATTCCGCAATTATGAAACTGGAACGATTTCACTCTCTCTCGTCGTCTGTGCAGCTACCCTCGACATTCACTCATCAAAATATAATAACTTTTACTACTTTATGGGCACGATGATGATCCAATAAAACTTGCGACTGTTTTCATTCACAATCATTACATATTTTCATATCGCTGCTGTTCAACTGCGTTTCGTATGATATGAAAAAGTTTTAAAATTCTCATACGCCAAACATCATAACAAAGAAGGAGAAACTTCTCAATCTTCTGACAGCATTGTGTCATTTTATATGAAATGATAAAAGCGACAAGAAAAACAAGAGAAATAATCCATAAAAAAAGTTATTTTAATTTAGGGTTTTGACATTTGGTCGGTGTCTGCCGATCAAATAAAAATTCTTTTTTACAACATAAAAATTATTCATTTTCAGTATATTTAATGAGCTTGATATCTATGCGAATAAAATTTTATCGATTTAAACTTTCAATTTATAGATGATGAGGGGAAATGACAACTAAAGTCTCGTTTGCTTCCACATTTGAGACATAGAAAGGTTAAGGTTTTAATATGACTATTAAAAGTTAAAATTAGAAATGATTCAGCAAGTAAATTTCTTGTCTAAATCCAATCAATGTATGTAATCGATCATTTGTCCAATTTATCTTATGTTATGCTTATATGGAATCATAGGTTGTTGATCCAACATACAATTTATTTAAGCAGTGTCATGACAGAAGGAAAAATAAGAAAAGAGAGTGAAAATATGAAGCCAGAAACTTTACTCTGACGTGAGAATGAAGGAAAAACTTACTGATAAAAAAATTCCCATGTGATTATCCATTCTTCATCGTTTTCACATGTGAGATGAATCGGGAGGAAAATCCAAACATGTTGTGAATAAATCAGAAGTAAACGAAGTATCTCAATCTTGGTAAGGAGCAACTAACAATATTCCCATGATGCATGAAGGCAAAGTGGTTCATTTACACTATCAAGTTGATGTTTATTTAATCGCTTGTTAAACATAAATGAGTTGCACAGTAAAGAGTCATTCACATTGCATTTGGGTGTACATGGAACATTGATAGATTGATTCAGATTCATTTGTCATGACCAGCCATGAATTTGATTTTTCACCTTCTTTCTTTGGATTTCTAAAGAATTTCATGATTGCACATTGGAAGAGCAAATGATTACGGAAAGTTGGGTTGAAGCATTGAATATCCAATGAGCTTGATTGTAAGATAAGTTTCAATTTATTGCGAGTCAATCAAAGTAAACTTCGTTTACAAGTTATTTAGGTTGAACAGTTTTCAAATTTATTTTTTATTCTTTTCGAATTATTTTAATTGAAATTATTTGTGGCAACAATGAGCTGTATAGAAATAATTTCAGACTTTTTAAAAACTCAAGAACCATATTTGAATGGCATTTGGAATGAGTTTGATGAGAAAATTCAGAAACTGACAAATAAACTTTCGATTCATGATTGCAATGAAGACGAGGAAATTCCAATTCAAATAATTCCGATTCAGTCGAAAGCGATTGAATCAAACGATCAGGAACATGATTTTGAATTGCTTGGGAGAACTTTTTCAGAACAGAATGAAATTTTGTGTAAACGTTTGGAAAACTATCAGCAAACTAAAACAATAAACCGAAAAATTATCGCGACGCTTCTTGAGGAACTTTCTAAATATCAATTAAATTCAAATGAAGAAATTGAAGGCGAAGTGCTTGAATATGTTGTGAAAACTCGTGAAATGAGATTTCAATTCATTGAAAGACAATTAAATGCTGAAGTTAAACGGCTCGAGAAAGCATTTGTCGAAGAATGGAAGAGACTTTCAAACTCAAGAAGAAATTTCGAAGCACTCGATTTAAAACTCAGAACGATAATTCATCCACAAATTGTTTTAACGTTTTCTGATAATTTTGATAAAATGAATGAATTGAATAAAAAGAAGCAAGAAATTTTTAAACTTTCTCAAGCACAAAAGAATCAAGAAGCAATTGATGATGACTTGGAGGATGAGTTTCAAGAGTTGCAAGTTGAATTTAAAAATATTTCGAGTGATATTGATAATACAGAGAAAGATTTAAAAAAGCTTAAGAGGAAAATCATCAAAACTCAACTAAAACTTCAAAGAGAGAAAAAAGAATTTAGAAATCAACTCATCGACCAACTTCAAGACAAAATGGTCTTTGAGACATGCAATGAAATTTATGAAAATAATTTGACGTTCAATCTTAACCTCGATACCAAATCTGGATATGAAAAAGTCTCAGCAAATGATTGCATCATTGAAGGATTGAAGGAAGAAATTTGTGAAACTGTCAACAAAATTCGAAATGCAAAATTTAAGATTCTCAAATTGAAAAGCGATATCGTCCATTTATTAGATAAAGATGATGGAACTACCGTTGGTTATGATTACATGGGAAGTAATTTTATTTCAATTCTGCAATCAAAAAAATGTTAAATAAATTTAAGAACTTTAAGAAACCGAGAAAACCTCTTTTCATCTTCTATCGACTCCGGATGTTGCAAATTTCCTTCTTCAAAATATCAAAACAACGCTGAAAATGTCTCAAAAATTCAATTGTTGTAAATCAACTTTTTTATTAGATTTTCATGATGCTCAAGAAATTGTCTCGATGCTTACATTGAAATCAACTAAATTTACATAACGAGATTTCTTTCGTTGACTACAAACAACAACAATACAACCAAACCCGCCTGTCTTCATTGATATTATTTAATTTACGATTTCAATAGCGAGAAGCGATATCTAATAAACGTGCAATATTTTTTCAGAAGCACTTTTTGCTCTGCCGACTGAAAGGGGTTGTGAAAATTGTTGATGTTCGATGCATGCACGCATTGACTAGCTCACGGATTATTTTGATTACATGCCAGTCTCCAGTGTATGTTTACTCTTTTCGCTATCATCAAATTCAATTTCATTGGAATTTACTTTGTGTTTTGATATATCGAGAAATAATGAAATGAAAATACGAAGTTTATGTTCGCAAATTTCGTTTCCCTCTTCAATCTATGGCAACCACCAAAACGCTTCATGCATGGAATCGGACTTTTTGTTAGATAACAATTTTTTTTTATTCTATTCAAATTGAAGGTATTTGCATATATGGTGCGTGTTACTTCCGCCGAAATGATCAAAAAAACTTTTCTTCTGGTTCGTGAGTTTCGGAAGAAAATTTTCTTTCCTTTCAAAAATTGTTTTTGAACTAAGAAAACTGATTTCACGCTACTGTAAATATTTTCATTAGAAGGCTCTTGTTGATGGCAGAACGTCAAACGCAATGGATGAATGTCGCGTATTTTCATTTGATTTCCGCATCAAAACATCATCAGATTGCCCAATAATTTGCCAATTTGCTTCCAACAAAAATCAAAGAACAATTTGCAAATATTCATAATTTAGCAATGAAAGTCTAAATTTTATCTCGAATCGATCAAGAGTTGGTTTTTATATTTTGAAATTCTGCTTCTTTCTTAACATTTGATTCTTCCAACAATTAGAGTGGCACATGAAAAGATGTCGAGAACATTTTCAATACGAAGCAAAACGAATTGAACTTTGAACCCTTTCAGTTTAACCTCGAACCCATGTTAAAGTGTGATACTTATTTTAAATTCATGTTAGAGATTTTCTTGAATAGCAAAATAGAAACGAGGAAGTTTTTAAACCTTTTTCATGCTGTGGCGACGCGAAATCTTTCAAGGGAATAGAATTTTTAATGAAATTTAAACAGAAAAGTTACAAAGAAGGAGTTCTTATTGATACAATCTCTTTCAATAGGAATCTTTCCGATAAACTAAATACCAAACACACAAATAAGATTTAAGGAAGTTGCAATTCATTCCTGAATTAATTTCTTTAACTAGTTTTCCAACTTCCATATGTGAATTTCAAGAATAGGGACGCAAACTTCTTAACATGACAACAGCATAACTTGATGAATGCCTTTTTTCCTTCGACTCCAATTTCCCGACAACGTCAAGTGTATTGCGTTTGATTGTGGAGTGAGATATTGACATCCATGAGTAGGTAACATGTTAGTGAATTTAACTAAATAGAAGAGAGGGAAATTTTTTCCGCAAATCATTCTGAATTAACTTTGCGTGTCAATCTTGGCTTTTATTTCTCTCTTCTTCTTCTTTTTTTTGTTGAAAACTTTTCCTCTTAATGTGAATTGTGTAGCAAAAGATTTATGATATTTTTCCGAGTTTTCTCTCATAGAAAAGTGCTTCATTTCAGACGGTTTAATTTATTTATGTAGGATTGTTACGCCAGAAAGGCGCGCGTCTTCAACGATATAGGAAGATAGAGAAGTAATAAATAGGCGTGAAATCGATCCCCTTCGCATCATGCGTATGCCTTCATATGTGATTATCGTTTTTTTAGCCGATGTGATGGATGATGTTGAACGAAAATTGTTGAATCATTTGCTAGATGCATGATTATGTTGATACAAAGCATTGAATGTAAGTCATAAAGAAATTCTGCAAATATTTTAATTCTTTTGTAAGTTACAACTTTAATTATCATTTTGAAACTTAAACACAATTCTTTATTATATTAAACTTTGATAATTTTCTTCATGATTCCTTAAAAAGAATTTTTATTTTTATAGGATTACTAAAAATTGTTGTAATTTTAATAATTTCTAAAAGTAGAAAAGCATTGTCGAAAATACTTTTACGATTTTACGCCACAGGCTTCAAACGAACGTCTTACAGTGTGAATGAAATAATAAATTTTAATATATTCAAATTAAAACATCCATGCAAAAACTCATTACAAGCGAAATGTTTTTGGTTCTTAAAATTATGATTTTAATAATAATTCTCCCGACACTTGCCTTTTTTTCAGAGAAATCTTTTTCACATTTTTGATTACGAAGAATTTAATAATCTCATGATTTTAAATATTTCCGGAAAACTTCAAACGCGCTTGCTTTTACAAGAAAATTCATTCATATTATTTTCCTTCTCTCATGTGCACGGTGCACTTGCTAAGTCTGTGTCTGAGTCTTCCGTAATTTGCTTCAATGATTATCGTATAAATTTTTTCCTTCCATAGCACCATCATGATGTTGTTGGGGTTTTCACGAAGAAAAGAATTTGTAAAAGATTAGGAAAGAGAAGAAATTCTTCGACGGATGTTAAAAAAAAGAAAAGTTGAATAAAATATTTATGAAAATTTAAAGATTTTATTCTTGTGGAATTCATACATGTTCAGGTCTTACTAATGAGGGTTGAATGTCCGACAATAATGAAAATGGAAATATAGTCGAGTTAATTTGGGAGACGAAATTCATCCCTCCAGTCTGTCTGAAATTCTTGAAGAACGTCTTAAGAAATCAGTTCATTAGACAACTTAATTCAATTTATTTAGTTTTTCATTTTAAGAGTCCCAAGGAATATTCATTCCAACAACATGCAATCTCTCGCTTCAGGTTCTTATTGATTTGACATTTTCAATTAAAATTAATGCTGTTTTAATTACAATTGTCATTTATGCGTGAACATTTTGCCTCGAACCACGAAACAATAGCAACGATATCTGTCACCAAATTTATGGGCTGTAGTGGCTTAATGAATTTTTCGGTGAAACAGGAAACGCTGTTGACACCCTTCGCCGATAAATTTCTGGCTTTTGAATTATACATGGAGGGATAATGAGACGACTGGTGCTAACAATTTCGGATAATGAACAATCTGTAGGAGATAAAATATGCATATGACTTCGAAAGTCTTTCGCTTTACAACAATGGTAGTTTTTGCTCATTTAAACAATTATTTTAAGTACTTTGGAATTTACTTTCGTATGAAATTAGATTTTCATTCATTGTTTGTGACAGACAGGAAATTCCTTTTCTTTTCTTCTTCTAATTTAAAATAAATAAATCAGCAAAGTGTGACGCATTAATGACCAAACATAATTTTATGTAAATCTGATCAATATTTCACGAAATGAATTACAACGTAAAAAAATGCGCAACATAAATATGTTTCGAACCTATGGCAACATAAATTTTAATGAAACTGATATGATCCTCAATTTTTTTCATTATTAATAACCTTGCCTAACCAACAGTTTTTCATTTTTCCCAATGATTTTTTTTTAATTATTTACGTCTTGGAATAAAAGTTTTTCCGTCCGCAAAAATCATTTTGCAATGGAAAATAATTTTCAATTAACTTTTAGTTGTAGAAGTGGAAGGAGATCTCTCATAAATTTATAACCGCAAGTATGATTCAATATCTAAAGCTGCCAACATCTGCTGAAAAACAACACTGTGTACTGAATAACATTTAATGAAAAAACAATTTCCTTGAAGGCATCAACATCATTCGCGGAAATAAATTTTAATTAATCGAGAGACAAAATACGCAACTTTATCGTCTCAGGGATGCTGTGGTGGGATTACACATCATGGTTATAAATTAAAATTTAACAAATCTCACACTGGGCATGAGATTTAAATCGTCCCATTTAATTTAGAAGAAAAAAACGAAAAGCAAATCAGTGACGCAAGTTAACTTTGAAACGAAAGAATTTTCATTTAAGAAAGTCAATTAAAAAATTATCAAAGTCTTTGCAGCAAGTACTGAGAGGATTTTCAATTAATATCATGTTAATTGTTGGGATTAATGATAAGTAGAGAAATTGCTTAATTCGAGGATTAGAAGAAATTAATTTTCTTCACCCAATTGCAAGCATCAACAAGGAAATTCGGAATTAATTTAATCATTATCAAAGTTCATCGCATTTTTACGTTTCAACCACAAAATAATTTATGAAAGAAGTTTTTTCATTTCAAGACTTCTACGAGTAGCATCGTTTGTTTGAAGCAATAAAATATTTTTTATGCACATCTCTAAGCACACTCAACAAATTCTCATATGCTCCTTCAATGCTTCCATTAATCTTTCATATTTAATTTCATGTGCATATGCTTGTGCTTCACTGGTTTTGACAATGAGTAAAAACTACCATTCACTCATAAATAATATTCTTCAAGAAGAAAGGTATTTAAACTTCCAATACTTGTTAAACTTGTTGTACATGTTTAACTTTTAAGCAGCGGTAAAAACACAAACTTAATAGAAGTTTGTTTAATTTACAAATTGAAAAAGAAATTTCTCCAGCTATGTAAAGCACGATTGCTGATACTGAACATTAACTTCTTCTCTTGAAGAAGTCGAAAGGAAATGTTGAAATTTTCCACCATCAAACACACACAAATTTTCGATGCATGTCTCAGACGAAAATCCATGAACAAGCGAATATAAAGCATTGAGATCATAAATCACGACAGCCAAATGAGAACACGTACGCGCTCACATGCAAATTATGGTGGAAAAGCAAGTGACACATGAGTGTGTAAATTTAAATATATTAACGTAAAAATTCAGTTTAGCATCGAGTGGGAAAAGAGGGTAAAAATTTTGTGCAATTCACGCGTGAAATTAAACATGCATCATGCGGTAGTTTGCCTTTATTTATTGAAGTTTCAAAAAGAATTATGAAAGGATTTACGGATGATATACGAGCTCGTTTGGAAACTGCTGACTTTCAATGGACTCATACAAGTTTAATGAAACGTCAAAAGATTTTATTTCATTTCGTTACTTACTTCTCTTTCACCAATTAAAAGAATAATTTTCACGTGTCTAATGACATGAAAATAATGATATCAAGGTTCTCCGAAAATAATTAGTTCAAGCGTCTGTACAGTCCATAAAATGCACAAATTATTAAACAAACTCAAAGCTAAAGTTAATGAAACTAATTATTTTATGAGATTGACCGAAATAAAAGTTGATACAAAAAAATTTTCGTATTTATGACATGTCATGCGATAATAATGAAATTTATTGCACATGTGAACGAAAGATGAAGAAATTTTGATGGAAATTTTTTTTTCCTTGCAAATAATTAATTTCTAGAATCATAAATATCATTTAAGAATTTTCCTTTGCTTTAAGGGAGATTGTAATAAATATTCCAAGTAAGATTCTTACTTCTCAACTCGAATGATTTTGTTGTCAAACAGACTTGAAGAAACTCTAAAAATCATCGCAACTTTTACCATTAATCTCGTTATCGACTATCAATTTATTACCATTGTTGCGTAAATTGATTTTATGTGAACGGAAGACATTTTTTAATGATCTGATATATTTCTGAAACACTTTTTTACGACTTTACGAGCCCTATCGGGATGGAAAAGGGTGCAAAGGAACTTAAATAATTTTTATGGTCTGTTCGCTTGAATGCAGATAAAAGTGGTTTAAGGAAAAAAAGAACTATAAAATTTGCGTATTTAAAATATCAATAGACGATATGTTTTCTCTCAGTTTACAGATATTTCCCTTCTTTGGTATCAACAGAAGCTGTTAAAGTTATTGTGCGTGTTGTAAATGCTTCCTTGGGCTTAGAAATTCTCTTTAAGATGGAATTTAATTTTTATGCTTTCTGAAATTGCATAACAACGACACAAACAAACGGCTTTTGCTACTATGTACATTTATAACTTTACATAAACCGAAAATAACAAAATTAAAATGATCTTAATATGAAAAAACAAAATTGTGAAAGTTTACGATTTTGAGGCAGCGAAGTCTTAATGCATGTATTAATCATTCCCTTTGCTGTGCGTCATGCACAACCATTTACATTCTGATTCATTAAACTTTTGTTATGACATGATGAAAATAACATTTATGGGAGAAACTTTATCGTGTCGTTTCCAAAGTGAAACATATTTTAAGATACACAAAGACGGAAGAAAATTCCATTTTATTGGGTGATAAAAAATGTTTGTAATACGAAAATGATCATCTCGGGGAAAGGACGAATTGAACGAGCCTTCGATATATGTCAAAGAATTTTTATTGAGCAGAATGTTTTGTTTTCGATATTTGAGGGTTTAAATTGAACGACGTTAGGACATGTTGGGAAAATTGTAAACGTAAAAATTTCATAAAAAATAATCATGAGTAGGAACCGAAAAAAAACTTCAATTTCCTAAATACTCATTTGAAAGCGTAAATTCAATAAATGATTATAAACTTCAAAAACAAATCCATTTTAATAGACTTTCCCTAACATTTTCGTCACATACATGTAATCACAACAAAATTTGCTGACCGGAAAAATGGAAAATTTCTAAAGTTTCATCATTGTCCTACATTTTTGTTGAAATCTTATTTAACAGCCTTTGTTGATTGACCGGTGATTTGGAAACGCACACAAAACAACTCAATTCACTTGTGTTGACAAATTGACGAGAAATGATCAAAAGAAAGTTTAATTGAATTAAATTTTTTCACACATCAAAACTGACGTTGTCGAGGGTGACACACTTAACGAGATTTGAAGATTTTTGAGGGCATTTCGCTTTTCAATTCGGACGAACGTCGTCTTTGTGCTTTTTTTGTGCTCTAACTCGAGAGCACTCGAAATTATTTTTCATTAAGAGTGAAATTTTCAATTTTCTTTATAAATCTATGACGACGAAACATTTATTTGGTCAAACGGCGACCAATTCCCTAATGAATTTGGGATTATAATTTTACGATTGCAATTATTTGTTACAGTAAATCCTTGAGGTTGTAAAACAACTTTTCCTTTTTTAATGAAAAATTGAATCGTAAAAATTCTCGGCTTCCCCTTCATGAAAAATGATGTTTTAATGAGAACAAAAGCAACATTACGATTCCTGACAGGTCTCGACTTGATACCTCGTAGTGATTCAATAAAATCAAATAAACTTTCCTTATTGTCCACTGCGAGAATGCCAAGAAAAACAGAATCTTACTGAGCTTTACCTTATTGTTGTAAATCATACAGATAATGTGGTGATAAAGATCACAATGATTTTCATTTCAGGTTTACTAAACATTTTCTTCTTGTTGCTTGGATACAGTAAGAAACCTTCAAAGTTTTTCCTAAGTTTCAAATAAATGAAAAAGAATCGCCCGTAAGAAGTTGCAATGTAAGGACTTCAAGGAAAAGATCAAAAGTCCACAGACATTATAATAAAATCGCCTAAAATATATCTTTTATTAGGTTTTAGACGTGCATTGCGCACACATATATGATGAGTTGATGAGAGTTGGGTTGGAATGGGAAGGGTCGCTTCGAAAGGTTTTCAATTTCAAAGTGAGTTTGAACGTCGAAAGGGAAGACTTTTGAGATAAATTTGGTGAATTGCACATAAACATTTACTTCTTCAATATTGTGGAAATGTTTCTCCCTTTCGACCAGTCAACATTATTACTCAATAAAAGTTGGAATAGATTCAGAACAATGGGAAATGTCCAAGGTATTTCCTTGGTTTCTTTCCTTTTCATGTTTTCTGCAACGAAATGCGAAATTGATTTCTTTATGTTTTCTCATTAAGAAGGACATTTTGCCCGAAACCTTACGATGATGTTAACCATAACATCCCTTGTTGGGCTTTGTAATCTCTCAGCACCAGATAGTGATGCTTAATAATAATTTTTTTCTCTTCTTCTTTCGCTTCCGGGCAGTTTTAATAGATTAACAATTAAAACGAAGACTAAGAGTTTTTGTATTTGACTCAAATCGAACACATTTGTGTCATCATGTGTGCTTCAATATAGCCTCGAATAGAAGGGAAGAAAATGAAAAAAGCAAATGAGAAATATGAGAGTTGGAGAAATAAATTAATAGAAGAAAATGGGGATCTTTAGACGCCAGTGTTCTATAATGTCTTCAGGCAATTTCAACTATCCATTTGAAAACTGGGAAATGATTTTCCGTAGCGATAATTTACATGTTTCATTATTAAATATTCTGCGAAATGTTATCGAGTTGTCTGATCTACCCTTAAAGAAATTTAATAACTTTAACATGTTTTGAAAGTTCTTTAAACTAATAAACATATCAAATTTATTTAAAATCTTCCAAATAGGAATATTAAAGGAAGAAACCAAAAACTTTTACACATATGCTCTGATGTTTTCCAAGGATTATTTATGCCGGTAGGCATGTGTGCTGAACAACATTCTCGCCCCCTCTCATAAAAACTATTTTTCTTAACTTTCGCAATGTTTTAATGATAGGCTAAGTATACATAATAGTGAAATGTCATCGTTAGAAACATGTAAGCATAAATAACCTTTGCTTTAATTAGTTTTTCTCCATAGTCATTATAAAATGCAAATTATTGCCTTTGAAGACGTTTCTTTAATTCTGCTAATGTCACATGGATTTTCTTAATGTTGTCACAAAGATGCGACACATGTGAAAGTAATTTTATTGTCTTTGAAAACTTTCCCCGGTACTTATCTTCAAAGCATTTAAAAGGATTGAAGACATTCAGAGGATAGCAAATGGTTAATATAAAATAGCCAGAGGATTAAAAGGAATATGAAGAATATGGAAAAGGACTAAAATCTTCAAGCATGATTAAAGGTTTATATCTTAGAAAATAACTAATTAAAAAATACCTAACTATGAACTGACGTAATAAATTACATTTTCGCAAAATTTAAACATTTGTTTGATTTGTGCATGTTTTCATTTTAAAAATAACGGCCGCCGCGGATTTAAAAATTTAAAGGGGTATGCAAGGAATTTTTTAAGAGACCCTTGACTTTAGAACAAAATCTTTAGAACTCATGTGACCAAAATTTAGAGCTTGGCTACCTCGATACTTAAAGCAAAAAAATTAACACAATGATGACCAATTGTATTATTTGCAAGAAAGCAGCAAACGATCTTACATTTCATGATAAAAGTCATCCATACTTTAAGCTTGTTTTAACCAAAGTTCTTCGTAAACATGGAAAAATTCCGAGATTAAGAGTAAGTAATCGAAAACACAAAATTGAATCTAACGAATGATGATTTTAATGTTCACAGGAACTTCTAACATGTCATAAATGCTCTAAAAAGCTAACTAAGAATGTGAAACCACAAAATGAGCAAAATAGTCTTTCGTTTTTACTGGATACGCCAGAATTACTCCTGCAAAACACTCCACAAAGTCAGCCAGAATTACTCCTGCTGAACAGTCAGTCTCAAAACAGTCAACAAAGTCAGCCAACTGTTCAGCAAAGTGCATCACAAATAGCTTCATCAGAAGAGTTGGGTCAAAATATGGCGCCTGACGATGCTGCTTCTGAGTCTGTTTCAATAAATTTTAATTCGAACAGTTTGGAAGCCAACGTTTTGCCACCAAATTTTGAGGATTCTATAAATAGCAGCTCATCATCTGAACATTTAAGCATTGTCATTGAAGACATAAATCAAAATAGATCACATTCAAATAGTGCAGCTCCAAGAAGAGTTCAAATTGCAGGAACTGCGGGCCGAAATACAAGACCAGTCAAAAAAAATTTAGGAGGATGAAATTTATAATTTAAAATCCTTCAAGATGGCTAAACAATTTATTTCTTCATACTTTACATAATTAGATACCAAGATTTCTTATACATTATTTAAATATATTTTTCAATGGACAATGATGTCAACTTTTTCTTTAAATAAAAATACAATTTGAAGACATCAAACAAATGCCTTTTATTTTATTATTAAATCTTCAACAGTTGAAAATGCAAACAAGCAGAAACAACATGACCATATGACAACAAACGAAAACCTTTTCGTAATTTTAAAAGGACAGATTTAAATTTGACAAAAAAAAGGGTTTTGGAAAATGCAGCATCAAAATTGTAAATTCACTTTTCGTTTTCATGTTAAAGCAGTTGTGACTTGTGTGGGTTAAGCTGATGAGTTTGATTGATTTGGATGAATAATTGAAGCATTGATAGAGCAAAGCTTAATGTCGCATATTGTAGAATGTTTGTACATAAATGTTTCCTCTTCAAAGCAACCCGCTGGTTTCACTATAATCAAATGACCCAAAACATTTTTCAAATCTGAAATCAAGCAGAAAGAATCTTCTTGAATCACAAGCATTTGATTAAATGCAGAACCTAAAACGACGATGGTGATGATGATGACGATGATGACCATGGAAACCGGACCATCGAGTGATATTCTAAACAAAAAAAGATTCGAATACACACGTTTTCGCATCAAAATTCACAGCAGGAATTCTCTTCCGTTCGCTACACATGAATTCATCCCCTCGAGAGTTCTACGGGTGAGCGTTGAAAATTAAAAAAAAAGAAGGCAGGAGATTGAAATGCGAAATCAGAGAGAAATTGTTAAATTGAAATGTAGTGGAAAAGGATAAATATAAACAAGTGGACACAGTACATTAATTTACTTTCTTCATTGTCCAACAATGTGTGAAAACTACAATCATTTGTGAAGTTAATTCGTCATTTAAAAAGCAATTGGTCCTCTGGGGTGTTGAACGACAGAGAAAATTACTGCCCCAAGGCGATGGATACACAAAGATAAAAGAAATTTTCAATGATTAATTTCCAACTGTGTTGCTTAAAATCTAAGAAAAGTTTGGCAATTTGCTTTCTTTAAATAAGAAAAACATCCTACCAAGTGCAAGAAAACGTGAATTCATTGAAATATCGACGATAAATCCCAAAGTTACTAACAAGCACCAACACACAAGTTGTTATGTCTCCCTGAGAGCCAATAATGTACATTAAGGATAAAAGGATTTATGAAATAAATTTAAAAAAATTATTGAATTGAAAACCATACAGATAATAATGCAATTTATTTTTCACAATGTCCTGTCTATTGACGCAAAAGATGTTTGGTTGAAAACACAAAAAAATGTCATTTTCCATTAATGGTAACCCTTGTAGCAGTCGCTCAAACAAGAAGTCGATAGTCGTTGTTCATGTTACAACTGAATAAGAAGAATAAGAAGGAAAAGGCAAAATATATTTTTCAATTTCCATAAATAAAGCAGAAAATTTTATTTATTTTTTAAAAGAAAAAAACTGTATGGTCACGAACTTCCCCGGTGCTTTGTCACATTGCAGGCCCATATTGAAGAAGAAAGAGCATGTTTTAGGTTTATTTAATTTTAAGTAAACCAAGCATTACGATGATGACGCATGTTAAGATTCATAAATTTTAAAAAGCAGTTGATTTATTGGAAAAGATATTTAGGGTTGAGAGATTCAGGGAAATAGATTTTGTACGGGTTGTGGCTTGTTGCGGAATAATCGATTGAAAAAGCAAGCGTTTAATTCTACGGAAATTGCGATGACCGAAGGATAAAACTTTGTCTTTATAATGGAATTGTTTTCTTTATGTTTCTTATGAAAGTAAAAGAGAAACAAAATTTGATTTTTGTTTTCAATTATCAACAACAAAGATTTATTTTTCCAGATCAGATTATAAATTTGATTTCTTTTACAAGAGAAAATAACTAATCGGCTTTTCCATGGCACTTTCCTATTTTTATAATTTAACAATTTCAAATGTTCGCGGCTGAAAAATGTCACCATTTGATGGTGCGAACACGATCTTCTTTCTCATCCGATTAAACATCTTAAATTTGATGCTTAAACTTTTTTTTTGCGACTGTCGAGAGATTTAAAATCATTAAAAATATTTTACAATTTAAACATTTTAAACTTTTTTTCAATTTCCAATTTTTCAATAAGATTCAAGATGAAAATGAAAATCCCTGTAATCCTTGTTCACAAATTTCCCTTTCGCACGAAATGATTCTTCATTCAAAATAAGAATCTCCCCCATTCTTACACAAGTTTCAAAGAAATCTATTGAAGAGTTCATAAAATTTTATGATTACAATGTGCTGTCTTATTCGGTGAATGTTCTTGAATCACCTTAAGCTATCATTTGTTCGCCGTTAAATGTTTATTCGATTGAAATTGAGTGAACATTTACGTCAATTTCATTCAATGAAATGTCTTGTAAGGTGATAGTTTATGAAACACTAAATGGCGGCATTTTTTTTTTGTTTTGGAATAATCAGCATTTTATTTGTTGCTGCGTTAGCTGACTGATGATAATCTAGGGACGATAAGCAATTACAATAAAGATTAAGGTCAATGTGTTTGAATGTCTTTTATTGTCAGTGAAAGGAAAGCAGAATTGTTGTAATAAATTTTATATTTTTTATGCATTTCTAAGAGTGACAGCATGAGAGGAATGAATGATTGTCAACTGTAGGAATTAATTCGTCGGTAATTATAATTTATTTCGTTCCATAATCGATGTTTAATATGCGCACTCAAATATAAACTTAACAAAATTAAACAGAATCACTTCATCATTAGCGAACATCAGTGTATCAGAAGTCACCGTTGTGAAGTCAAGCGAAATGTTTCCTAATATTCCGATCATTAATCATGCTTGCAATATAAATATTTCATCCACGATGGTAGAAAGCATTAAACGTTTGGTAATAAAAATCTTATGCGAGCCTTTTCCATCTTTATTGATGTGAAAACTTTCCATGTAAGAATTGTTTTTTTTTCAACATACAACATAAATCTTAATTAGACATAAAGTGATTAACTCGATTAGTGCGTAAAGTGAGTTCTCGAGGAAGAGATAGAAGTGGGTGAGTCAACTTTCCTTTGACATTTATAATCCTAGAAAAAGAATGTTTACATTTTAATTAAAATTAAATGTTTTCATCGACTGGCAATGTTAACTTCAACTTCACGATGATAAATTTATTTTTAATCAAAATAGCATTTATCGTTAATTGCATTCGATTCATTTTTGTTTTGATACCTCACCCTTGTGTCAAGTGATTTTTTTTAATCTTTTAGACTCTTAATGACTTCGAAATTTTTTTCTTGCATTTATTTGACTGGTCGTTGGCACGTCATCTTAAATTTCAATTAATTTCTTGTTTGTTTCTTCTTTATTCGATTTTTTCCCTTCATAAGTGTCATTGATTTAAAAACAACGCGGTTAGATTTTTTTTTGTCCAACGCTAATCTTCTCAAAAACATCAAATGCATAAAAACAGCATAAAAAATATTTTTTTAATTTATTTTTTTCAAAGAAGAGATTAATGCACTTGAAACTTAAAAAACTTTCTCATTTTTTGCTGAATTTTTAATTTCGACGTTTGTCGCTAATGAATTTTGGGAACAGACAAAAAGGGTGCTTGATGTTTTTTGCGGATAATATAATTAAAAAAAAGGAAGAAACTTCAATTCCAGAGAGAGAATTATTGTTGAATGAGATTTCCTTGTCATATCTTCATAGCCAATCAAGCAATTTGATCATGTAAGAGGTTTTCTCGCCATTCATTTCAGGTGGGCATTAAGTATTAGTTGAAACAATTCTGATAATTATGCTGGCATTAACGAGATGATGTTTTTACTTTCTTGAGTTAGGAAATTGTCGTCAACAAGAAGTAAATTATTTGAATTTAATTAAAATTATAAGCACAACAGCCAACATCCAACTTTGTCTTCCTTTCAGTTATTTAAAAATTCTCAAGAAATTAATAATGGAATAAATCCAAATGTTTCAAATAAAGTGAAGTTTACAAGTTTACCTCCAATAAAAAGTATCCTTGACCTACCTCGTTCCAGATCTTAAAATCTGATGCATTTACGTAATGAATAATAAAGAAATGTTTCATTGTCACTCGTTTGTTAACTGTGATCATTCAAAACTTTTCCACTGAACTTTCCTTTCGAAAAGAAGTGAAATTTTAGATTTCGCAGTTCATTTAATAATTTTCGAATATTTACAAGTGAAACAAAACTTGCACATTTATCAAATGTTAGAGAAATTTCTAAGTAAGACGCAGTCAAGTGGAAACTAAGTTATCAATAAATTAATCGCAGCAAAACTGCTGAGGAATTTAAATCAAACCGAGGTGAATGGCTTCATTCTCTCGTCTTGTTTTTTTTGTTCTTTTCATTGAACTCAACACAAAAGAATTTTAGTATAAAAGAACTCTTGCAACCCTTTTTCGAAAACTTTTTTTTGGACAATGAAAGAGATTTCAAGAAAAAAATTGTTTACGATTATTTACATCCTCGAAATTTTTTTCCCAACAAGAAACTTGTTGAAGAACTCGTTCTAGCAATTATCAAAACTTTTTTACAACAAACAAAGCCTAAACCAAACCACTTTCTAAGCCATGGAAAAAGACATTAAACACATCTTTCATGCTAATCATAATTCTCTGTTAATGTTGCGTATGAATGAAGCTCACTGCATTGTCGGATGTTTTGTAAAAAAATGAATGAGTTGAATTTTTTTGCGCGTTTGATTAACTTGATGAGTTGTTCTTTGTAGCAAAAAACTGGTTTGTTTATTTGTTATGAACAAGAAGGTTTTACGTGCCTATTGAGAATTCCCATTAGCGACTTTATTATCCATGAATCAACGTAATTTGCATAACAAACATTAAAAGAAAGCATTCATAAGATCAGTTGAGAAGTGAAGAAAGTGTCGGGAAAATTCTGATTAATATGTTTTCTCCATCAACGCGACATGTCAGTTTATTGCACACATGCAGTAAGTATTCAATATCCTTTCATGATGTCTTTAGATTCAAAGGAAAAAAAAGGATTTCATCGTTCAAAGTCTGATTAATGATGTTGCGAAAACATTTTTTCGACGCTTTACGCCATGCCACGTAAGCATATCATTTACATCGCCAAAATGTAATTTTAAATCAGTGAAATTTTTCACTGAAATCACTAAGGATATTAAACACAAAGAGATTCGCAACTCTTAATACTTTATGTCATTTTTCATACGAGAAGTCATCTGTACCTGATCTCTGATTGAATTCTCCCTTCTCTTAAATTTCAATTCATTGATCCTTTTGTAAATGCGAATTTAAGACTTTTTTGCTTCTTCATTTCCATTGTGAAAAATATTTTAAAGTTCTTAAAAATGTTCACACACAAAAAACTGTCAATGACATCTCTTAAATTGTAACAAGAGAAATCATCATCCGTTGATTTCTTAATAAATTTAAATAAATAAAAGAAAGGAAAAGCAACTTTTCAATCTTCTCAACGTTACGCGAGTATTGAAATTATTCTCGCATAAATAAAAGTAGGGAAGTTGGCATATGGAAGAGTAATTGATGGTTTATCAAGAAATTATCAAGTCAAATAGAATTTTCAATCAAATAAATAAAAGAAATTATTGAAGTCTTTACAAGTTTAATGCAACAGAAAGTCAGCGATATCTTGATAAAATATTTCAAATAAAACTTCCTTCCATTTGATCTTGAAGGTAGAAACCAATCTACAATCCAAAATATTTCATCTCACGTCTAATTTGTGGCCCTGTTACATCACTCAAAGCAGATCTTTTTATTCTTTTCACGCAGATTCTCAAAATCTTTAATAACAAAAGGAAGTTTCTTCAAAAGAATGCAATAGGAAATTTGAAAATCCCATTCATTACATTCACGAAGCTGTGAAGCGTTTTGGGCGATAAATAAAAAATCTTTTTATGATTGCTTTTTGCTGGTGTGCGCGTTTCCATTTTGATTCAAATTAGAATTACGGAGATTATTAAAAGATGAAGAAGTTTTGTGTTATAAAAAATCGTCTTTTGTTACCCTCGTGATATTTTTTTTGTACGCTGCTGTTGTTAATTTCCAAAGAGATGCTGCTGTCGGAAGGTACACGACACGTAATCGTAGGCATATTGTTCCAAATCGGGAACGACTTATCTTCACTCGAACATTTATTACTTGATTTTCAAGTGAAATTAATTACGTCTTTCTGACGATTCTTACGCGATTTGAAAACGCGCAGCGGGTGATTCAGGAAGCAATAAATTCTTTATTCACTGAAATGAAAATTCAAAAATCTTCGAAAAATATTTCTAAATACTCGTTGAGTGGAATTCTTGTTTTATTTAAATCACGGACAAAAGCTGAAATTATTGCATAATTCCGAGGGAGAATTTAAAGATGTAAAATTATGAACCAATTTATGCACAAATGAGTTGACTCATAAAAGATTTTTTTTTGTCAGAAGTTTTAGTTATTCAAGTCATGTCATCGCCAACATTTCAATTTTAAACTTGTCCATCAATCTTATGAAATTATTCCTTTTGTTGTGACTCACATTGACACAATTTAACACATCTTTGTACTGTTGCATGTCATCAAATTAATTGCTCATTTATCATTAATATTAAAATAGATCGAGTTGGGATGTTCGTCATGGGAAAGCAAAACTTTTTATTTTATTCATTCACTCATCAGGATTTTGTTACTTCACTTTACTTCTAGTGACTAATAGCAAATTAATCTTTAAGGTGGTTCAAAGGGTGGGATATGGAAATTATCAAAACATTTCTGTTGATCATTTAAGATTAATGAACTTTTTTATGCCTCCTTGTAATTATTTCATCATATGTATGTGATTAGCTTTCTTCATCATGTTAGAGCAAGAACTGGTTGCGATTGTAAACTCTTCATAGATGAACTGGGAAAATATTTATATCTGACGATCTCCAGGGGTCATTAAATGTACTCACCCTGCTTTCGAGCATTCAATTACTTCAACTGTAGTCATTTAACTGAACTGAAACGATAATTATCGTGTTAATTGATTGCTGAAGAGAAAGTGGACGGCAACAAATAAAAAGGTATGTTGTATCATAAAATGTGATTTTATGGATGTTTGTCACATGAACTCAACTTTTGACGGGACGGGACGAGAACAAATAAAACATGAAAGCAAGTAAAACGAGTCATTTAACATTTCTTCACTTTTGTTTTCATTTCATTTTACGTTAATGGAATTGCTGGAATTTAACGACAATGATTTTTATAGATTTTCATGTTAAATGTTCCATCACGATGTCTTTTTGTTGGACAGAGTAGATATTTGTTTATTTGAGAGTCTATTTTGATTCGTACATGTATCAGAAGTTCTTCTTATATATTTTATCGATTTATACAAAATTTTATTATCGATATTACCGTTCAATTAAAATGTAACATCATCGGCAATAAAATGCATTAGAAAGCAATAAAGCAACATTAAAAATTGCTAAAAGATATTAAAACTTTGAATTATTAGCTACACAATGACATCGTGAACTCATTTTGCATGCGAAACAACTTTAAATTATCATAAAAATCTCAACACTTGATAACGCGCCCATCATGCGTGTTAGAGAATACTCGGCATGCGAGATATTTATGATAATTTAATGTCGATCTCGATATATTTTATTTTTAATAGCAGGGTTGCTTTTATGTCTTTCCTCTTTCTGTTTTCATTTCGTCCATACTAAGCGCATAGATATTTTGCAATAACTGGCGTCCCCAACATGTAATAATAATGTATCATCTATGATGATGTAAATTATTGGACTCACAATGCAAAACATTAGATTTAGTTTAAGATTTCCTTCTAAGCCTCTCTTGAAAATCGTTAAGGAACACATAAAGCAGATATTTATGAAGGAAAAATGTATAAATAACGAGATGTATGTTAAGATAAATGTATTTTTTTCCATAAGTAAATATTTGGTTGGAAAAGTTTTATTGAGTTGTAGACTTTTAGGAAAAGTCAATATTTCAAATTATTTTATCAAACTTTATGAGAAAATTCTTCTCGTTTATCTTATTAGAAATAAAGTTCAATAATCAATAAGGTGTCAATGATCGAAAATTTTCTTATCAGTAATTATTAAATCAATGTCAGTTCTTTAAAGGCTACTTCAGATCATAGACACAACTGGCTCGTGGCTTGCTTAATAGCTTGTTTAGGCTTACTTCGAAGAACATTTGTTAAGCCTATACTAAAGTGTTGAGATAATTGGTGTGTATGGAAAAGTTGTTGCTTAATACTTTCTACAACTTTTCCTTATACATTTTATTTCAGTAGCGAGACAAAAATGTTTTTCAAAGTAAGCTGAAACAAGCAAGCAAGTCATGAGCGAGTTGTGTCTTTCTTTCAGATTCTATATTTATATAGAGTAATATCAATAATACAAAGTAAACGAAAATTATAATGACGAATCTTGTGATGTACTTTCACATTGTCAAATTCAGTCGAATAAGTTTAAGCGTTGAAAGCGAACATGTTTTTGTGGGCTAATAGTGAAATTGTGATTGGTGTTGTTATCATCAACATCTTCTCCAGATGCATAAATGGAGTGTTTGGTTTATTGTTTAAACCTTTTTTCAAACAGTTGCAATCAACTCCTGTTGAAGTTATGTTAATTTTAAATATATGCACAGCGATTTATAATTTCACTGCTATTATCTCTGGCTTTACAATGAAGTCAGTATCAATAAGAGTGATTGCTGTTATCGGAACAATTTGCATAAGTCTCGGTCTTATTTTGACATCATTTGTATCAACATGGAGTGCAGTTGTTTTTAGTTACAGTGTAATTGTTGGTGTAGGATTAGGACTTTTATCACCTGCAGTGTTCTTATCACTGGCAACCACTTTTAAAAGTGGTTTGAATAAAGCTCATGGAATTGGAATGGCAGGAATTGTAGTTGGAGATATTGTGCTTCAACAACTTGTTGGAATTTTATTAACACATTATGAATTTGACACAACAATTCTTGTTGTTGGAGTTGTTTCATTGACAGGAATATTTGGAGCATTTCTTTTAAAATCAGAACATCAGGTGCCACCATTACCAGAAGAAAGACCATTGATCAGTTCTGATGAAGAAAAACAAACAAATTCAAGAAATGAAGGATTTTTAAATGACTTTCATATGCTGGAAGATAAAAACTTTCTCATACTGCTTGTGGGAATGTCATGTGGAATGACTATAGCTGTGGATTTCGCTGTCCAATTTCCTTTCTATTTGAAGGTTTGCTGGATGTGTAGTTGTCAACTTAATAAAATAGTTTTGACATGTTTTAGGATTCAGCACAACTTAATGAGATTCAAATTGCTGCTTGCATGTCTCTTCAAGCAGGAAGCGAACTTGTAGCTGAACTCACATTTTATCTTTACATTGATTATCTTAAATTTTCAAATAAGAAATGTTATCTTATTGGCGTTGTTGGATCAGCATTTGCTAGATTATTTTTAATTTATTTTGAAGGATTTCATTCATTAGCTGCTCTAAGTATTATTTTGGGATACTTCAAAGGAATTGCGATGGGGAATTATTTATTGATTTTGGCTGAATACTTTCGAAGTTCTCCTGAAAAGCTTCCAAGTGCTTTCAGTTTTAGTAAAATAACTTGTGGAATTTTTTCTCTTTCATTTGGACCCCTTCTCGGGTGGATTCATGGTGGAGGTTACACTTTAACATTCTGCGTTCAAAGCTTTTTTGCACTTCTTATATTCATAGTTTGGATAGCTGATTAATTTATCTGTGATCTGTTTGAGTATTTTATAATTCAGTAGATATGAATCATACATTAATTTTACTACGCTTAGATAAATAGATTTCATCCACACTCGTGTGATAATTACAAATAATAATTTGTTCAAACATAATTTTTTGATTATGATTTATAAATTAAATGTTCAAAATATTTCGTTTATTATCAACATCATCAATTTGAGAATTTTGTATCGTTTACGTTTTTTTTATTCCTTTTAACAAGCTTTTGAATTGATACGTGACCAAATAGCAACAAAGAAAAGGAAAAGCTTTTGTAGTTAATTTGTATCTGGTTTATGAATATTCATTCGGTGGTCACTTCTGCAGTACACAACACGATCAAATAAATATTTTAATTTCATGGAAATTTCATTGTGAAATGAAGAATTTATTTTATTTCACTCACTCTAATATTAATTTTTATGTTCTTTAAAATATGTTTGAACAGGAAAGTATTAATTGAGATTTCCATTAAATGTTTCTTTATTTTTGTTAATCGATGTTTATCAAAGCACATCAACAAAGAAGNAATTTCAATGTGAAATGAAAAATTTATTTTATTTCACTCACTCTTAATATTAATTTTTATGTTCTTTAAAATTAGTTTGAACAGGAAAGTATAAGATGAGATTTCCATTAAATGTTTCTTTATTTCTTGTTAAATTGTTGGAATATTTTAGAATCGTAATAATTACAATTATTTTTATCATTCTTTTCTTGACATATCAACGTTAATTGAAGCACATCAATAAATTTATTCCGATTGAGTGAATCGTATTTTTTCGTTTTTCTTCTTCTTCATATACACAACGCGGTTCTTTCAGCAATCGTTCATGATTCCATTGAAGTATCAAATTTTGATTTTAAAAGTTTGAGTATATTAAAATATTATTTTGTATTAATCATCATTTTAATGAGTGAATAAGAAATTTTCATTAAAGCTATTTTTGTTTCTTTTGTTATTATCAGCGTTGTATTAATGATTTGTTTGTAATTTTTTTTATATATAGAACTGTAGCTGTGTCAATCAAATAAGTAAATATGATCCACTTCCTGACACAAGTATATTTATACAGTGAACTCTCGTTATAATTCCCTCTCGTTATAATTCTTCTCTCGTTATAATTACCATTTCGAAAATAATTTCCCTTCGACCTGGATGATACTGTCAGACCTCCACCTCCAAAAAAACAACTGCTGATTGTTGGTGATTCCATCTTAATTCTCCTATCCATTCTACTATAGTTGATCCCAAAATACTCTTTGATCGTTGAATCACCTTCCGTGACCTCATCTTTTATCACTTTTTAACTTGAACACTTTAAGTGTTCAATTAACTGCTCTAATTTTTCTAAATTAATTTCATTTCCTTAATCAAAGGACCAGTTTTTTGGATAGAAAATATTTTCTGCAATTTATTAATTTGTTGAGTTGAAACGTATAAGAACTCGGATGAGTTAATGATTGTTAACAACTGAGATTATTTGTTCTGTTTATTCAATATTGAAGCAGTTATAACTGTCGATGTAAATATTCTTTTCATTAATAGTGTTTCATAGAAACGAGTTCAAATAGGGTAGTTGGCCAGTAAGGAAGCACTCCTATATCGCTGCTAGTAGAGAACGTTTAGTTTTGAACTTAATTTTCTTCGCTATTTTATTTATTAATAGCTTAAAACTTTATAGAGAAGTACTTTGGAGTAAACTCTGCCTTTTTATAACGTTTTAAGCTATAAATATTAGAAAACGAAGAAAATTAAGATCGAAACTAGTGGTTCTCTCTAACAACGATTTCGGAGTGGTTCCTTGATGGCTTACTACGCTATGAATAATTTTATTTAGGTCAAAAAGGCTTTGACCACCTGCTCCAGATTATTGAAACAAATACAATAATATCAACTCAAAAAAGTAAACAAAGATTTTGATGCTGAATTTTGAGATTTCCTTGCACATTGTCAAATTCAGTCGAATAAGTTTAAGCGTTGAAAGCGAACATGTTTTTGTGGGCTAATAGTGAGATTGTGATTGGTGTTGTTATCATCAACATCTTCTCCAGATGCATAAATGGAGTGTTTGGTTTATTGTTTAAACCTTTTTTCAAACAGTTGCAATCAACTCCTGTTGAAGTTATGTTAATTTTAAATATTTGCACAGCGCTTTATAATTTCACTGCTATTATCTCTGGCTTTATAATGAAGTCAGTATCAATAAGAGTGATTGCTGTTATCGGAACAATTTGCATAAGTCTCGGTCTTATTTTGACATCATTTGTATCAACATGGAGTGCAGTTGTTTTTAGTTACAGTGTAATTGTTGGTGTAGGATTAGGACTTTTATCACCTGCAGTGTTCTTATCACTGGCAACCACTTTTAAAAGTGGTTTGAATAAAGCTCATGGAATTGGAATGGCAGGAATTGTAGTTGGAGATATTGTGCTTCAACAACTTGTTGGAATTTTATTAACACATTACGAATTTGACACAACAATTCTTGTTGTTGGAATTGTTTCATTAACGGGAATGTTTGGAGCATTTCTTTTAAAATCAGAACATCAGGTGCCACCATTACCAGAAGAAAGATCATTGATCAGTTCTGATGAAGAAAAACAAACAAATTCAAGAAATAAAGGATTTTTGGATGACTTTCATATGTTGGAAGATAAAAACTTTCTCATATTGCTTGCAGGAATGTCATGTGGAATGACTATAGCTGTGGATTTCGCTGTCCAATTTCCTTTCTATTTGAAGGTTTGCTGGATTTGTAGTTGTCAACTTAATAAAATAGTTTTGACATGTTTTAGGATTCAGCACAACTTAATGAGATTCAAATTGCTGCTTGCATGTCTCTTCAAGCAGGAAGCGAACTTGTAGCTGAACTCACATTTTATCTTTACATTGATTATCTTAAATTTTCAAATAAGAAATGTTATCTTATTGGTGTTGTTGGATCAGCATTTGCTAGATTATTTTTAATTTATTTTGAAGGATTTCATTCATTAGCTGCTCTAAGTATTATTTTGGGATACTTCAAAGGAATTGCGATGGGGAATTATTTATTGATTTTGGCTGAATACTTTCGAAGTTCTCCTGAAAAGCTTCCAAGTGCTTTCAGTTTTAGTAAAATATCTTGTGGAATTTTTTCTCTTTTATTTGGACCCCTTCTCGGGTGGATTCATGGTGGAGGTTACACTTTAACATTCTGCGTTCAAAGCTTTTTTGCACTTCTCATTTTTATGGTTTGGATTGCTGATTAATTCATCTGTGATCTGTTTGAGTATTTTATTATCCAGTAGATATGAATCATACATTAATTTTACTACGCTTAGATAAATAGATTTCATCCACACTCGTGTGATAATTACAAATAATAATTTGTTCAAACAAACTTGTTGATGATGATGAATAAAATAAATTTTAAAAATATTTCGTTTATTATCAACATCATCAATTTGAGAATTTTGTATCGTTTACGTTTTTTTTATTCCAATAATAAAGCTAATTGAATTGATACGTGACCAAATAGCAACAAAGAAAAGGAAAAGCTTTTGTAGTTAATTTGTATCTGGTTTATGAATATTCATTCGGTGGTCACTTCTGCAGTATACAACACGATCAAATAAATATTTTAATTTCATGGAAATTTCATTGTGAAATGAAGAATTTATTTTATTTCACTCACTCTAATATTAATTTTTATGTTATTTGAAATATGTTTGAACAGGAATGTTTTAAGTGAGATTTCCATTAAATGTTTCTTTATTTTTGTTAATGGATGTTTATTAAAGCACATCAACAAAGAAGAAATATTCTCCAGTTCTAGTGCTGACTAAAGGTTAACAAACATTAAATACGACTGAAGATGAGATGGCAATTTTTTTCATATTCGAAGTTTACTTGGTTATTCTGATGATAAAAAATTAAAGAAACATCAAACAAATTCTGTAGTCAGTTAGTCTACTACATTAACTTTTCAAGACTCTCTCATGACTCCCAAACGTCAAAATTTAATTAAGTCTTCAATTTAAAAACAAATATTGAAACTCAAAAGCAACAGATGTCATGGAAAGTCAATTCATATTTCCATTGTTTACATAAGAACCGAAGACAAAAGAGTTGATAGCGGCTGAATCAAACGTCACATCAAGCACATGTTGTTTGAATTAATTCAATTCTGTGACTTGTTCACCACACAACTAAATATTCATCCAATGAAAATGTGAATGAAATGTTTTCAATTCAAGACATTATCATTTAATGGTATCAATTTCACAATAAAGTCATCAAGAAGAGAGTAAATTTATCTAATAAAATAATCTTGATACGAGAGAATAAAGAAAATATCTGCGGTTTTCCATCCACATTTCATTTGTTTGTTTAAAGAGCCAACAATTAGAGCGGATCATTTCACCCTTTACTCGTTATTTGTAGGTTGAAATTTCACTTCGTTTTATTTTCAATCCCTCTCAACCATTGTCAAGATCTTCCATCATTTTATGAAAGAATATCAAATTTCACAAAGATTTTCTGTAAACAATCAAAATGTTTACGACAATGATGCTTCTTCAACTTAATCGTCGTGAAATGAATCAAAGTTAAATGAAACATTTTATGAATGCAAACGCCATCGTGACACGATATTGTCATTCGTTTAATTGATATCCATCAAGCTGTTAATCAGTCAAAAACATTTGTGGCACCATTTAAGATGATGATAACAACCCTTTCTCAACATTAATCGTTCCACCCCCGCATCGCGAAGCTATAAATTCACTTAGAGGCGTTCTTGTATATTGTTATTATTTTATTTATTTAACTTAGTCAACTGGTAGAATGTAAATTGTTACAAATGCAGTAAACTCCTTTCAATTCGTAAATGATTCACTCCAGGCAAAACACTGCCCATGTTGTGTACGCATAGAATTTTTTAATTAAAAAATCTTCAACAAACCCTTTTTTGTATTTTTTACTTCGAAGAAATCGCCAGCAAGGGAAATGAAAAAAATGATTTATTTGTGGGATTCAAATTTTTTTCAGCCTTTCTTTTCTCAATGGTTGTTTTTATCTTGCGCATAAACACAATATGGACCAATTAATAAGTCAGAAGAAGAAAAATGTGCCAAAGGGTTTCGTGAACAGTTTTTTCTCGATACAACATGTTTGGCGATTAATTTAACCCTTCTTCACCCTTCTAACACACATTTATGCCTTCCTTACGCAATTCGACTCTCGCAAATAATCAGAAAAGATGTAATCATTAAAATTGCCTTTTCGGACTATTTTTTTAATGATCTGGAGATCCGGTTGAGACATAAAATTTATGTTTTTACTTAAGACACTCCTTTTGATAGCGGGCGCCGATTATTGTTAGCTATTTTTTGGTCAGAAGTTTATGATGCAACTAACAATAAACGCTTCCTGCAGTTAGGAATATTTTGGAAGGGTTGAAGAAGAGAATTTTCAATCCTAATTATCGCTAGCGGCAACATTAATTTTTTCAAAAGATTTTTTTTACCATGATCATTGACAGATTTGAAAGAGAGATTTACGGAATAATTCATACATATTTATTATGTTACCTACATCAAGTTTTAGCTATTCCTTGATAACTAAATTTTATTTTTCTTATATAACTAAATTAACATTTTCTTGATTTTAACATGTCAGATGTGATTAAAAATTATTTAAAAATTCAATGTTTTCTTATTCTGTTGTGTTTAATTTAACAATTTCAATTATTGGAAAATGAGTTCCTGTAATTGTAAAAATAATATCAGTTTGATGAAGCTTAAGCAAATTAAAATTTTTAATTCATTTACCGAGAAAACTTTGATTTTGTAGCTTTTTTCTGGCTGTAAGAAATTTAAGAAAAAATTGTTTAATAATAGATTTACTTTGTCTCCTTATAGCATAACTTTTACCTAAAGCACTAATTGAAAGTTCCATGGCAGTATTTGGATGAACAGCTTCGAGATGATCCTGTGAATATTTTCTGCCTCTGAAATGCAACTGACATATATTACAAGAAGTTTTTCCACTGAATTCTATAAATAGAAGAAAAAATGAGAACAGATATTTTCATTAAATTAATTAATTATCATAGAAAAATGATTTTCTTACCATTATGCATTAAAACATGATCCCAAGCCAATCCGAAAGTCAAAGATTTACCACACATAGCACAATCAGGTACAAAAGTGTTTTGATCGTTATCATGGGGTGTTGAAAGTCTTTTATCAGTAATAATTTTGTGGTCCTGCATACAATGGCGTTTCAATGAACTCTTCAATACAAAATGCATCGTACAAATGGAGCAGACGTAAGGACATTGATATGCTTTAATTGACAAAAGAGAAAAGTTCGTCTTAAAACTATAAAAAAATGATGGAAAATAACTTACAATGCTGATGAGTCGACAGATGATTCAACAAAGTCTTATTCGAAAGAAAGATTTTTATACAATTTATGAATGGACAGTAGAAATATTTTCCAGATTTTCTGAGCGGCTTAAATACAGGAATCTCGGCTTTCTTTTCTTCAACTTGGTTTTCAATCCAACTGTCTTCAAATTCCTGATCTGCTATATCAATAAATTTGCTGATAGTTAGCCAATCTTCATCCAGAGATCTATCGGAAACACTTGATAATGAAGATGAACAATTTAAATTGACATCGTCGTGGAAATTGAAAGATTCCTGTGATACAAAAGGTTTACAACTTTGAAGAGCACAACTGGTATAATAAGGTGAGTTCACATCAGAATAAATTTGTTTCTATAACAAAGAATATTTTTAATAAATTAAATTTTGGGGTTAGATTTATAACTACCTAAATGTTTACCAAGGAATAATTGACAGCTTTCTCAGTTTTATCCATTTGATGTTGTTTTTAATAAAGAAAGACACTTGAAAATAAATCTCGAAATACAGACAAATATTAAAACTGTTATGACTACATTTAACAGAGTAATAGGTATTATTGGAAACTACCTAGGTATTAATAATTTAAATCTCACTTTAAAATTCTAACAAAGGTTTGCTTTCGTTAAAATTTATTTCAAATTTCCTTTATTTTCCGTTACATTCGTTAAATTTTTTGGATATTTTCAATTTGAAAATTATTTTTTAAAATTTTAAATCACTTTGTTTTTCATCAGAAAAATCATTCTAATGTGTAACTGCTTGTACCATATCCCAATTGATTCATTTTGTTGTCGATCCATGTTCGGAATTTGGCAACATTGGCATAAACTCCTGGCACATTTTCTTTCCCACATTCTATTCCCCATGCAACAACTCCTGCTTGATAATAAACCTCACTCTTTCCTGGGACTGGACAAACTAAAGGTGAACCTCCATCTCCAGTACAAGTATCAACTCCTAACTCTCCACCAGCACACATGAATGAAGGATGAATTTTGAACCTTGGACCAAGTTTTGTAGCCCTCAAAGCTTCTTGACAGTCTCTCAAAGGAACTGGAGGAACTTCTACCTTCTTTAAATTGGTACGATAAGCATCTTCTCCATAATAGTCACTTCCCCAGCCGCTGGCAAAACAATTAACTTGAGCAATTTTATTGTTTGGTGGAGGCAAGCAAATCGTGTTGATATGAACCGACAGTTTTGCAGGAGTTTTCAAAATAAGTAATGCAACATCATTATATAAATTTGTAGGAACAAAGTCTTCATGCGGAATGATTCGTTTCACTTGATGCACCGAAGTATCAAAGATTTCTTTTGTTGATTTTGTGTCCCATTCGCCTAATGTGACTTTGATTTCAGAAGCTGTTAAGTTGTAAACACAGTGGGCACCGGTTAAGACGACACTTGGATGAATTAATGATCCACCACAAAAATAATTAGTCCAATCTTTGTTATTAGTCCCATCAAAAAGTTTTCCAGTCAAAGAAGCCATCCAAGGAAATTCTGCATATTGAGCTTCATCAATGCTATTTGTGACTGAAAATCCAATTCCGTCTTTATTACGAAGACCACAAATTGTTGGCACCATTCTTGCAATGTTTTCATTTTTATTGCAGCAAACATCTGATTCATGATCACATCCAGCAAAATTGTTACGTGTTGTGAGTGTCTCTGCACCATCTGTCGTCGTATCAGTGTTGCAATAAAAGAATGGAATACATTCGTGTGTTTCTGAGTTACATTCCTGCAAACGAGAAAGCTTTACAGAAATTATTTTGAATCCAAATTTGACAATATTTTATAAACTTACAGTTTCAGGAGTGGAAATTAAATTTGACTTGTCACTACTCGAGCTTCCACGATTGTCTCTATCATTGATTGATTCTCCAACATGCTGTGTTCTTCCTTCATTGCCTAAGAATGGTTCTTCAATTACATCTTCAGGGTCACAACACAATTCCATGTAATGACAAGCATCAGTCTCCAACTCAATATTAAATCGGACACTTAAATGATCGCTTCCGTCATTGAACTTTGTTAAGTTTGAGCATTGTGCAAATGGAGTGCACACACCCAAACCTTCGTTACAATACTGCAATGAAGTTCATTTAAACATAAATCTTTCAGGTTTATTTTTCTATCATATTTACTCTTTTTTCACATGTTATGCAATCGAATGATAAGACAAAAATAGCCACACACAAGACGTTGAGAACAATTCTCATGACTTTCTTATTAATTCACGAACAAAAAGACAATTTCTCTACAAGACGACAAATAAAGACTGAGAATAGAGTCGAACAGCAGCAGCTTTTATATTAAATGCTTATCACTAACTTATTCTCTCTCTTCGTTTAGGATTTTCCCAAGAGCCGAAAAAATCTCAGGTTCTCAAAATAAATATTCCAAGGGTTGTCAATTTGACCTTAAATAATTACCAAGAACAATTTTATGATTTCTCAGTAAATAGAAGATTTTTTTTGATTTTATTTTATTATTTCAAAGAAAAGTTTAAAATGTGTAAGATTTTGTTCTTAATCCCAATTCATTCATCTTCTCATCGATCCAATTTCTGAATTTAGCTACATTTACATAAACGCCTGGAATGCCTTCGTAACCACATCCAACACCCCAAGAAACAATTCCTGTGGAATAAAAGCATATTTTAGATCTTTTATCAGATTTGAAAGTTTATCTTAATAACTTGAAAGTTTCTTAAGCTTTAGGCTTGAAGAGAATGTTGATTCAAGTGCTTAGTTTCAAAGCCCTATTAAATATAATTTACAAACCTGCTTGGTAATAATAATCAACTTCATCAGGAACCGCACAAACCAAAGGTGATCCACCATCACCTTTGAAAGAAAAAGAAAATAAAATTTAAAAATTGTGAAGCGTTCAATGATGAAAACTTTACCAATGCATGTATCAACTTCTCGTTCACCGCCAGCACATAAGAAGTTCAAATGAATTTTGAATAGTTTTCCCAATTGTGTTGATCGAAGCCGATCCTGACAATCTTTTAATTGAACGATGGGAAGTTTTATTTTCTTTAAATTCACTCGGTAAACTCCGACTTCTTCAAACTTGGCAGCACCCCAACCACTAGCAAAACAATTTTTGTCAGTGAATTTGAAGTTTTGAGGCGGAAGACAAATCGTGCTTATATGTGCTGTCAATTTCACTGGGGACTCGAGAGAAAGCAATGCGATGTCATTATGCAAACTTTTCGACACAAACTCAGGATGTAAAATCATTTGTTGAACTTTATGATCGTAATGTGGAAAAGGTTCGTTGAGCGTTTGAGTATCCCACTCACCAACTCGTGCAATGAAGGTTGAAGATTCTTTTTTGTAAACACAATGCGCTCCAGTTAATACCACAGAAGGATGAATAAGTGAACCACCACAAATGTAAAAACTTTCAGAATTTATAACTTCTTTTAAAGCAACCATCCATGGAAATTCTCCGAATTGTGCAACATCAGAAGCATTTGTCAATTGCAATCCAACACCAAACTTATTACGATAACCACATTGCTGATAGTCAGCTTCTTGTGATAAAATTTCTATCTTTGGCGGTAATCTTTGTCTTTGGAATCTCACATCTTCAGCTCTACACTGCTGAATGCAAGCGGATTCTGTTTCATGATTTATGTTTTCGACAATAAAAGATTGACTTTCAGTGCTTGTCATTATGTTTTCAGGGTCACAGCACTTTTCCAAATAATGACAATCATTTTCGTCTTCATCAAACAAACTGAATCTCGTATTTATAAATTTGCTTCCATCAGTGAATTTTGTCTTTTCAGAACAAAGACTGATTGGAACGCACTGACCTAGACCTTCATTGCAGCTCTATTTATAAAATTTTGATATGAAAATTAATTAGAAGTTGAAAATTTTTTATATTCCCATTTAAATACCTTTCGTATTATTCCTGTTTCGTTTTCACTTGCTTGTAGTTTATGAACATTATAAAATATTAAAATTATGACGAAATATTTGAAATTCAACATTTCTCTTTAATATCAATCGAAATCTTGTTTCTTGAGGCTGAAGAGCATTTATTTGTGACAAACTTTCAATATGTACAGAACGATTTAAGTATGTGTTTTTCCTACTGATAAATCTTGAGTAAATCTCAGTTTTATTCTCCTCGGCATCGATCTTTATGTAGAGAGCCGAACAAATTCATCTGCTTGTATACAGTTGTAAACATTTTAATTCGTTTCAATCTGCTTGTGTTTTGTCCAAACACCAATTATCAGCGACATTGTGATCAACGCAATAAAACAGAGAAAAGTAATTTTCTCTCTGAAGTTTATTGCTTCGCTCTTAGCTTCGGTAGTTAAAAAGTTGTTCAAGTGTTTGGTAGTTAGATGATTCTTTTAGATTCCTGTTCCTAGATGTAATAAAAATGGATGAATGATGGGGTGAAAGATAAGAAAATGACAGAACTTTGTCGCCTTTTGTAATATTTGTTTATTTGAGTGTCCTTCATATTCTCGATAATGTGAAGATATTTGAAGAATATTTCATGACTTAAAGTGGCTACTTCAAATAGAAAAATGTTGGAATCTTGTAAAGGAAATCAGAAATGTATTTAATGACTGAAATCTTTCCGCGAATTCTTTCTTGAGTTCAACTCTGGCAAAGAAGAAACACTAAAAATTCGCAAACAGGTCATAAATCGTCTAAATTGTCACACAATTCACATATGCGGCTTTTTATTTCCCCTGATATGAACAGCATTCGCCAATATTTATATCATTTTGATGAAGACAAATCTATGCAACAATTCTATTTCCAGCAATAATCAGATTATTTACAAAGCTATTTCAACCATTTTCAATCAAAGTTTTCCACTTTTCATGATGAATTTGCATGTTTTTTTTTCCTTCTCTCATAAAATCTGTTGCACGCAATTTATGATTATTTATGACATAACAAAGACGTAAAAGAGAAGTGATTATGTGATGATAAAACATTCTTCACAATAAAACACAGATTTTCCTCGAAATTTATTATGGATTCCAAATATAATCTAATGTTGGCGCTGTTTCTAAAGAAGCTACTAAAATTTGAAATAGGAAAATTATTGTTATGACAATTTTTCTTCGTTTTTGAAAAATAAATAAAGGAAATCATCCTTTTTAATGTTTCGACAGACACTGTTGGAATTAAATTTCACATTCTAATGACAAAATAATTTTTTCAAGGTTTGTAAAATTCACATTTCGTGAAATTTTTAAAATCTTCATGCGGGGTAAGAAACGTTTTTTCTATTGAACTTATTAACTGTCATTGCATCAAGACACCTTTCAAAACTTTTTGAGATTTTTGAAGAATAACTTATAAAAACTAAAAGATTGATATCAAAATGTCTGGAGTAAAAAATGTAAGTGGCAATGTACGTGAGAATAATTTCTTAAGGTGTACAAAATAGAATAGTTTGGAAAACTGCAAACGCCGAAGTTAAAAAACATATCCAATCATATCAAATATTTGATGCATTTTTTCTCATCTCATAATTTGTTTGAGAAACTATTTTTACAAAGCTTTAAGTAAAAACACAACATTATTAAGATTCAAATTCATAATATCTAGGTAGTTTCTTTCTCAAATCAAGTTTTCCTTATAATAAAACATTGTTTTCTTGCTGACATAGTGTTTAAGGTTATGTCTCTTTCCTTTTTCGTCCTCCCTTTGATGCCTATTTTCATATTCCAGGAAAAACAGGTTGAAAGTGAGAACATTCGTTTAGACGTGGTTGGACCAGATAATCCAGTTGTTAAGTTTAAAGTTAATCGTCACCAACCACTCCGCAAGCTCATGAATGCTTATTGTGATCGAACTGTAAGTATAACATAAAAATATTAAGAAAATATGTGATGGTCATATAAATATTTAAAGGGCTTGGCCAAGAAAGAACTAAGATTTGTTATCGATGGCTCAAGAATCCATGAGAATGATACACCAACATCACTTAAGATGAAAGAAGGAGATTCGATTGATGTTTTCCAAGAGTGTTATGGTGGTGGCTCTGTTATGAATTAAGCAGCTAAGAGATCACGATGTGGTTACTGTGTGATGGTGAAGAAAATCATATCTAAACAATTCCACCATATAAAACGAAAATATTTACCAAAACATCTCCATTTAAAGCAACAAGAGGATAAAACTTCATCATCGACATCACTTGCATTCTTTTCTTTTTGACTACTTTTAATAAAATTTATTAATAAAAATGTGAAAAAGAAAATTTTTGAAGCGTGAAATTTTAATTTATGTAGATAGGTATAAAATGTTTTGAAAATTTTCATATCGTCAATAGAAAATTTTAAAGATTTCAACTTATGTTTCGTTAAGACAATTCTTGCAACCCGTTGGACAAATTATTCACCAGTTTTATTCCCTTTAAAAAAATTATATATCTACGAAAATCACCCGATAATTAACATGTAATATCCTGCTTTTGTTTTAATATAACTAGGTGATGAATTTGTTTTTTCTTCTCTCGTAAAATCTGTTGCACGCAATTTATGATTATTTATGACATACGTAACAAAGCTGTGAAAGAGAAGTAATTACCTATGTGATGATAAAATATTTTTCACAATAAAACACAGATTTTCCTCGAAACTTATTCTGTTTTCCAAATGTAATCTAATGGCGTTGTTTTTCAAGAAGCTAAATTTAAAATATAAAACTTCTGCTTATGACAATTTTCCTTCAGTATTGAAAAATAAATAAAAAAGGAAACCTTCGTTTCTTCCTTATGATTGAACAGACACTGTCGGTAACCTCGTAATGACAATTTTGGTTATTAATTTTTAAATTAAACCACGCGACGGAAATTGTTTTTGCCTCATTCCGTTTTTTTATTTTAAAAACATTTCTCGTAATTTTCTATTAAAATTGTTTGGGAGGAAACTTTCTTCATTTCGTAGAATTTTCAACCCACTTTTCTTCTTTCTTTTCTACTCATGATTAAAGCAGAGGTAAAGAATGAAAAATTTTCGACATGTTTCAATTAACAGCGTGAATACATTGAAAATGTCTGTGAATAATTTATTCATTACATATTTGCTTATCAGTTGGCAGTTGAGAGGCTTTTAAATAAAAAAAAAAGGAGAAAAGTGAGATTGATGATATCACGCTTTGTGTATAACAAGGAAGGGAAAAAATGTCAACTTGTCTAGAATCCCATACCCGGTCTCTTTTGTATGAACTTACAATCTTTCTATACGTGAAAACCAATAAAGAACTTCATATGCAAATCAAACCCTCGCCGGAAAGCGAGCGAGAAATTTCACGGCTGTTTAAATTCAAATTGAATTTGTTAAAAAATTGATTGATAATTTCGCTGTTTTAATGAAATTTTTTAACCTACATTTATTCATCAAGGGAAATGAATTAAGCGTGCGTTGGTATTAACAATGAATGACAAAAGCATGCAGCGAATTGTGCCGTAAGGGAATCATTTCTTCTTTTACACTCTCTTGAATCTTGTGGTTTCTTGATGTCGGAAAATTTGAGATGAAAGAATTCACTTCACGCTTTCTTGACTCCAGCAATGAATAATTCAGAGAAATAAATCAATTGACTTGCTTTTGTTCACTTCAAGTGTTCTTATGATGATTAATTGAAAGAGATTTCCAAAGTGTTTCAGCCAAAATCATGTGAATAGTTTATTGATTCGATGAAAAGCTAATGAAAAAGGCCGGAAAATTCCATCCTTAAATTCATTAAATTTGCGGCCTGCTACATGAGTTGAGCAAAAATTTTAATTAAAATATCTTACTTTATTCTCCCAATAAACAACTCGATTTCATTCTATTGTGCAATTGTTTCCCTAAATTATCTACAAGAAAATATTTATCTGAGTAGGAGAAAAGCAAAACCATCATGGGCTTAAGAGTAACGCAACATTTTCCGCACAATTTCATCTTGAAGTGAAGAAAAATGATTGCAAGCAATAATCATGAATATAAATTTGAGGATCATTGCATTCAACTTCTTGTCTTCATATTCTTCTCCAATCAGATTCACATTTATTACTCTATCAAGCATGAATTATCAGAAAGTTTTTTCCTTTTATTGAGATCTGTATTTACATTAAACTGTTCAACATTTGCTGGAATGTGAAAGGGAAATTTAATATTTTTTGTCGACTATTTGAACAGCAATCGAGAGTGAGAATTCAACTTGAAATGACCCCTATCTCCGTTACTTTATTCCATCTATAATTCCAATCGTAATATCTGCTTTGTCAAGAAATGTTACGCATCATCAAAAATTATTTATCCTGTATGAATGTCATGAATATGCTTTTCTGGTTTTCCTCAATGACTTCCATTATATTAATTTATTTTACGAAATTCTGTCATTTTCCTTCCTTTCACATCATATTATTGTGTGCTTGTGGGATGTTCGCAGTAGAAAAGAAGAGTTTTGGTCTGGAAATTTTTAATTTTCATAACTTTTATGTCAATCTTTCTTTTCATATTAGAAATTAGATTGGAATTGGGATATTTCTCTGTCATTTAATATCCGTGCAGATAAAATATTTTCGACGATAATAAGCATGAAAAACTTCAACAAATGTAGGTACAAAATCAGAAACATTTCACTCAATTATATTTCTTTTAATAATAAAGGGATGACGATAAGGACAATATTTTATAATGATGTAATGTATTGTCGTAATGGACTGTACGATTCAACAATAAAAGAATCTCAAGTACTTCGAATAGGAACGAAATCAGAAGTACTTTCTTCAACAGCACCAAACCACTTCAAATAGATTCTTACAAGATTTTCTCTAACTCGAACCCGCCATGTTTCGAATTTTGGACAGGCGAAATTCATTTCAAGTGATTAGATTAATGGCCATAAAAGGATTCACAAAGCGATCCACTCGAATGTGATTTAGAAATGTGAGAAATTCTAAGAGTTTTTACTTTTCCCTTCTGAAAAACAAGCATTAAAAATTAAGCGGTAAGCAACAAGGGGACATATAAAAGGCACCCTGACAGCATTTAACCCAGATTCTGACTCATATGTACATACGTCGAAAAATGCAAGGAGAAACGCTTTCAATTGAAACGGTTCTGCTTGCTGTTTTGTTACATTTTTATATTTCTGTTGTTTCATGACATTGTCGTCCACAGCGGGAATTTTTTCCCAAACTCCGAATGCGCGCAAAACTTGCTATAAATCATGTAAAATCATACATACGGACCTTGGTATTAGGAAGGGGAAATTGTGTTATATTTTGATTCGATGTAATGTCGAATACGTGGTTTGATGTCCTTGCCCCAGACTCGTCAGTTGACTCAAGCTGAGTTCACCCACACGTCAGATGTAACTAACTTTGTCCCTGAAATACTTTTTGGCGCTGTTGAAATGTCTATAAATGAACCACCAACCATGATAACAAAAGTCTTAGCTAAAGTGGACTAAGAAGCCTTACACAATTCAGTTTCTCTGAAGCACGAAATAATTAGAATCCTATTGTTGACACAGTTCAGATTACAATCGGTTAGATATGTGTCCTTTTCTATTATTACAGGGTTACATAAAAAAGCATCTAATCGCCCAACAAAATGAAACGAAATGAAAACAAGTTTTCTAGTTCAAAATGTTGAATGCTTCAAACTTTAAAGACAACAAAAAAAAACTTTCAAAAAGAAATCTACACGAAAATATCCCGCGGAGTTTTTGTTTCCTCCTCAAAAATCGTCTTTCATCCTTTCTCAGCTTATAGCGAATTGTCAATTGAATAAAATAGAAAAAAATACTTTCAGAATGATTCGGAACAAAAGGACGAATGACATAATAATGAGTTAAATGGGTGAGGGGAGTTTAAATTTCTTGTTTGAGATTGCTTTTAAATCTGTGAGAATAAAATGTTTTCGTTTGAATCGACTGCATGTATGGATGATCTGAACGAGCTGGTTAGATCCATGCAACATTTTATGTTCACAACATTAATTCTCCTAAGATTTAAATCATTGGATCATGTGTGAAGACCGTGAAACCCTCTTGCAGCTTGTTAAGGTAGTTTAAGTATTTAGATCGCATAAAAATTGCCAAAAAAATTCTTTTAAAGAAGTGGAACGAGTGAACGACTTTTAAACTCACATGACATGTTCACAAATGTTTTTTTTTGTTAGTTGAGAAAGCAGAATAACATGAAGTATTTATAATATAAAGAAGCATAAATCACAAGAGAAGAATCAGGAGCGCGTAACGAAACAAATATCTACGCGTATTTTATTGTTAAGAAATATAATAAATTTTTCCACCGAACTAAAGAAATGTTTCCTTCTTCTTTTGTGAATCAATCCAAATTAAAGTTTTCTCAAGCTTCTAAAGCAAAAAATATGCAAATGAGGTTTTTTTCCGTGTGATATCTGAAATGGGTGATGTGGTGAAGGGAGAAACATAAAACCAACGGGAATAAGTAATTCACATAGTCTGACGCTGACACTGGATAAATACAGGTTATAAACGCGAGACAAAAATTATATGTTAATGGATTTTCTCCCGAAAGAAAGGAAGAAAAAAAAACTTTCTTGATCACGATAGGGACAAACAATAATAACAAGTCTTGTAGCGCAAAATGAATGAGAGTTGAGCAATAAATAGAATCTGAAAGACAATAGTTATTCAGCGAAACTAAAATAAGAATAACAATGTCAATACACATAAATTCATACACCGATAAGTAAAGGAAAACAATTCTTATGGGATATGTACATAATTTAAGTCACGTGAATAGTTCCTGATACGAAAAATTAATTAAAAAAGTCATTTAACAATTCATTCTTTGCCAAATTCACCAAGTTACAAAACAAATAAGATTTCAATCTTTCGATTCGACTCTGCTACCCCTTCCCAGCTTCTTTACTTTTCCTTGAGTTCTTCTACGGAAAAGCAGCATAAGATTTATTTCTATGAAAAGAAATTTTACTTCCCATTGTTTAGATTATCGAAAGCGCCAACACAAAAACGAGAAAGAGGGAAGGAAGAAAGATTCTTACCCGCGGTGTATGGGATAGAAAGGAAATGCAAACAAACCAGATTTATTGTTTGTTTCTACGGTTTCACGTTAATTGAGAAATCTCTTTCTATTCAACAACCGTACACAGCACACACACTCACATTGCTTTATTGTCTTCATTCTTAAGTAAGAAAAAAGAAAAAGAAATTAAATTCACCATAAGATGTTTAGCGTGTGGTAATAAATTTACATTTCAGTCTTTTGTCGGGGTTGGAACAACCACGGGATAGGCGGAAAAACCAAAAGCATTTATTTCATAAGAACTTGATCGTCTCCTCATTGTCGCTCTTTTAGCTTAACGCCTTCAAGTATTTGATGATATTGAAGTGCACTGCTGCGAAAACTTTATTGTATTAGATTTTCAGCAGCGAATCTCTGTTAACACAGATTAGAATTCCTTGTCATAATATACAAAAACTACGACCTAAAATCACTCACTTAATGAGAATGAGTGGGTGGAAAAATTTATCGAAGGTCTTTGATAATCGAATATTTTGTATGTGATGTATTTACAACAGATATCTAACGAAATGTGTGTAATTTTTTTGCTTGAGTAACCGTTAACGAAACAGCAACCCAGCGACCTTCACACCACCCACGCATAAATGACATTGACACAGCTTGCTATTTGGGTTATAGAGAATTTTGGTATGGAACCACATTTAAAGAAAAAATGTTAATTTCCTGACCTAACTGAAAAATATTCTCATTTGATTGATATCAAGTAGCTTGCATGGTTATAAATGGAATTTACTACTTCAAAATCATTCAATATTCTGCAAATCGAAGAAAAGAATATTTTACGGTCTGGTGGAGTTTGAATTTTATCAACAGGTGGATTATTCAGACAAGCAATCCTTTCAATTCACTCATAACCGATGATTTCTGAAGCATCATTGCATTGATTCAATGTATTCAACCTTTTTGAAGCAATGACCTGATAAGATAAAAATTATTCAAGAATATTTTCGAGATTTTTGTTGGCATTTAATATTTCAAGAAACCATGTCCAATTCATAAATTATTTAATAAATTTGTAGTCAATAAAATTCCTAGGAACTTCTACATTTCTCATTAATCCAAACTTGTTTGTATCGACAGATTCTCGAAGTTTTTTCCTTCTTCTTCTCGAAGGTCACAATTTCTTATAAAGTTTACCTGCAATTGAAAAAGGCTTTGAACTAAGATGAAAAGATATTCCAGACTATGAAAAATATCATCCGTAATGCACATAATGAGAATATTCACATTGTATAAAGGTTGATGACATTAAGACGATCTCCAGGTTGTAATTTAATTGAAATGAATTTAAATTTTAAAGATCTGTTGAAGTGTAAAGATTTAAAATTGGTTTGGTAATCTTTACATCTCAATTTTTTCTCAATGGAATTGCTTTACAGCGTAATAATCTTCTTATTATAATGATCCAAAGAATGAGATTTACTCACACATACCTGATTGTTTGTAATTCATCTTTATCATTGATTTAATCTTTATTTAGCCTATAGAATTAAAATAATTTTATGTTCTAGTTAAATTTTTTAACCGTCATGGTTTAATATGTCTTTCTATCCATTCAGTGTACGATGATACTTTTGTGTAAATTGCTGGCCAATCATCAAGACCACATAAGTAGCCGAATGAAACAATTCCCTCGACTATCCAATTGTCTCTAAACCGCATGAGTGGCCCACCTGAGTCTATAGAAATAAAATTGCTTAATTTAAATTCCATCGTTAATTATATTTTTCTTTTATTTTTACCTCCATCGCAAGCATCACGTGAGAATTCACCACCCGCACAAATTTGATCTTTTGTTATGTCAACATTTTTTGTAGCAAATTTCCGTACACATTGTCGATGATCGTACATTGGAATTCTAAGTTTTTGTTTGATTGTGCTCATCTTTGAGTGTAAAGTTCGACCAAAGCCAGTTATGTAAACTGATTCTCCATTTTTTAAACTGGGACTTGAAGGCATTGGTAGACACACTGGACGAACAAGACCTGAAACAGATTTGTTAATTTAAAAAAAAATTGAAAGTATTTCATGTCAACATTACTTGAAAATTTCACAGGTTGCTTAAGTCGTACAAGTCCAATATCATGTCTTCGGTTTATGACGCGTGAACTGAAACTTTCATGTGGAATAATCTCTTCAATTTCATTGACTCTCATGGGATTACCACAATGTCTTCCAGGACAACTTCTACTCAAGCTTAAGTCATAGTCACCGAGTCTTACATTCACACTGAACGATGATTAATTACAATAAGTTCAGATAATGATTTTATTGATTTTCGATTACTCACAGATTTCCAATTCGATGGATGATGTCGCCGGTCAGACAATGGGCAGCTGTTAGAACATATCTATGGCTGATTAAACTCCCTGCACAATTAATTGATAGTTCACCAGCAGCTATAATGAAAGAATTTATTTGAAAATTTCACAAACCTTTGGGGAAAAAAAGTTTTAATCACCTTTGCGATATTCCAGAAGGGCCAACCATGGAAATTCTTCTTTGTCTGTATTCTGCAAGTAAATATATTGATTATTTGAGAAAAGCACTTTTTGCACTCGCAAAGATAAAGAAATAAGAAAAATTGAATCAACAACATGCACAGTTTTCTCCAACGAAAGCAATTTGTCAAAGTAAAGTAAAGCAAGTAAGCAAACTCACTTGTCCAGAATAGATTCGGTTCTCAATTTTCTCCCGTCCACACTCATTTGTCTTCGGTAACAGACTGTTGGAACTTTTATAAATGATTGAGTCATCTTCATTGTCGACCGATGCACGATTGTTAGATGCTGACGGTGCTTTAAAGAACTTTTCTTGGATTCCTTCGTCTGGCTGATGTCCGAATATAAGCGAGTCATCATTTCTTGCGCAACAAACATGTGGAACGCTTTGACTGCTTCCGCCATCACATTGTGACATCTTGAGAAATGATATTGACTGTTGAGTAAGCGATTTTGAAGCAAGAATTTTCAAAAGATAATCACAATTGTAAATTGACACACATCGTCCCATCTTGTAGCCGGGTGTTCGACAAAAACCTAAAACAGATAATCAGAATCTTTGATTTCACATAACTATTGAGTATTTAACAACACTTAATTACTTTGAGATGCTACAGCATTAAATCCAACGATTAAGAATGTTGTTATTACCACGTTGATCTCCTTCATCAGCTTCATCTTCTTTTCAACTCTTCCAATGCGTCTTACGATTGCAAAATCTTCTGAAGAAATGATGCAGCGACAATCTGCGACGTTTTATTTATAAAGCAAGAAGAATCTTTGCGTGAAATATTCTCGGGGGATTTTGTAAGACGGATCTTTAAGTTATTGCAGCACTACACACCTGAAACGAATGAATTAGAAAATCCAACATGAGTCAAGTCACCGGAAACATGCTGAAAACTGGAAAGAAATTGTCAAGCACGAGTCACAAACTGGTTTAAATATTTTTTTTTTGCTTTATGATTGCCCAGTTTGACCTTAGTAAAAGTTAATTGCGTGTCTATTGTCTTGCAAGAATTCATTACAAAAAATAATAATAAAACTTCTAGAAATTTCAATCGTTAGCTTTTTCAAGAAGAAAAGAATTAATTTATTCAAGAAATTTATTAAAGAGTTTTATCAAGCGTAAAGTTTTGTGTTATTGTGACTTCTTAAGAAATAAAATTAACATAAACGTTTAAGTCAGTAAGTCACCATTAGTAAAATCCCATTTTAAAAGGATGATGCGAAAGAACATTTACAGAAGTCGATAAAATGACATTTCAAGTCATAATACAATGTTCACAAATTATTCCCTTGATTGATTACCAAAATCATGTTCCTTCCATTTACCAGCACGTGATTCCATTGAAGTGAGTTAAAATTGTAACAAAATTTCACACTCCAATAGATTTCCACATCGAGAAAAGCGTCTCTTGTGTACGAAATAAATGATTAATAAATCATGGAGAATTTCTACAAGTGGAAGAGATTAATCGCGTAACGCAGAGCAAAGTTCTTAACAAAATCGAGAAAAAAAATGAGAATATTGCGGAATACGTTTTATGGTATTTAGCTGTCTACTCCAACTCGACACATTTTTTTAATTTTTAGAATAAAAACGGTTGGTAGATCAATAAATTAATTAACACATAAGCCATGCAGATGAAAACCGTCTCATTGACTCTCGCAACTTCAATTAATAACTTCAATAAATTCCTCAACTTACTGTTCTGGTGAAACTCACACAGACTTGTGGCAAATCAATTAATATCCGGTTAGTTACGGGTTTGCGGTAGCTTTTCCAAAAAATAAAAACGGAAATCCACAGAACATGAAACAAGCACTCACAGAATGATTCCTCAACAGTTTATGATGAATTATTAAGAAACGAGTGAAACTTTATGCGAAACAAATCGCACACTCATAAATGAAACTTTTAAAACTTTCAAGTTCACTTTAAGTAAGTAACAATATTCACAGATTCTCTCAATCGTTAATGATGACTTAATTATAGTTTAATTTGCAATGATATAATAAAGCCTCACTTAGCGTCTTAATTTTATTTTAATCCACTACGTCTTTTGTGTGACTTGATCGATTGAAAACATTATTGAAACTGTAGTCAAAATGTAGAAGCACAAAAAAAAATCACCTGCAAAATATTAGTCGAAATATTAACTCGACTTAAACAGTGAAATCTTGATTAAGGTGTTACGTGTTGTGGTTGAGCTGTTAGGTTCATGTTTGGATGATCAGCTGCTACTGTAGATGTTTACCTGTCCGTAAGAAATTGAATTTGTTTGTCTATACCATTGATTTTTTTAAATAGATTTAATGAGATGCTATGGTAAGAGGAATCATCGGTCGTGAGGTCATCCACGCTAAGTATATTCGTCTAATTAGTTTAAAACATCTTTTTTTGCTTTGCATGTCAGGGGGAAAAAGAGCTCAATCAATCGTTAAGTATCCGAATTAAATCGTGATGATTAAGACAATTTGTAATTACATTTAAATTCTCATCACACAGCAAGAGTCGGCTTGAGAGAAGGTTCCAGATCTAAATTAGTATTTTCATTAGCATAAATCACTTTATGATTTATCATCGTGAGAGTCATGGGATGTCGCATGAAACTGAGAAAGAAATTGAAAAAAGAAATAAAAAATTAACCCTTTTTTATCTAGCAAAGATTCGAATAACGAGGCAAAGAAATGTTGTGAAAGTTGGTGAACATGATAAACCCTTCTTTGATCTGCATCCGCCCATTTCAGATATTTTTTTCTCAATGAAGATGAATGGGACAAATCTGCGTTTTTTAATTAGAACCGAAGAAAAAAAATTCAATGCATTCAGAGCGACATTAAATCAAAATTATTCTTCTTAGAAGATACAAAAAAAGTTTTGGGAAAGAATCAAAAAGTAATTTAAGAGAATTAACATTTTTTTCTTCATCCAGTTAAGCATGATCATGATGACAGGAAAATTTATGAAGCTTTTCCGATGATTTATAAAAATTAATTTTTAATCAACATTTTTTTTAAGGAATTCCTTTTAAAGGAGTGAAGGGACGATTTTTTCATCAAAATCTTTTATGCTAAGTAAGCTCAATAAAAAATTCACTTCCACGAGAATTTCTATTAAACAAAAACGTTTGAAAATAAAAATAATCAAACATGAACACCGAGAAACTTATACAAAGCCACGAAAAGGTGATTTCTGTGTGAAAGCGAAAGCTCAAAGAAGCTAAAAGCCACAACAGAAAACGAAACCAAAAGCAGAGCAAAAAGCTGATCAAGAGTCACATAAATTCAGGCGCAAATTGGTTCGCGAATTTTAAAACAAAAGCAAAACAATGAACGTTAATTCTTAAGGAAAGATTTAAATAATAAAACAGCGAAGGAATAAAAAGAAGAAATTAATTAAATTTTCTTATTTTCATCGGATGTTTTCAAAGTCAGCGGTCTTATTCAATATTTATCTCGAGAAAGTTTAATTGATTTTTTTTTAAAAGGATTAAATTTAATTGCTGGAAAGGGTTGAAAATTTATAAAAAAAATCTTTGCTGGATGTTTTTAAATGAAAAAATTCGACACAGTATTAAACATTCAATCTGAAAATGAATTTTGTCATTTGCGGGGGAGATTTAATTTGATCAATTACAGAGAAATTTCTTTTTATTGAAAATCTTTTTTAGTTCGAGTGAATGAAGAAATCCACATGACAAATTTTCATGTTGTCCATTGCGTGTTTCTACAAATCTTCGGATAAACATAACAGATACAAGAGGGAAAAATATGATTTATGTCGTTCAGAAGAAAAATTAATTTTTCTTGCTAAGTCAAAAAGGAAATAAGAAAAGATCCGGCAAAATATGAAAGTTAATGTACTGCAAATCTTCTTCTATTCATTTTGTTATCTGCTTTTCTTCTGCAATTTATTCCATGCTGTGTTGTTTATATGTTCTCGCTTCAATCACCCTGATGAAATATATTCATCCAAGTCCAAAAGTTAAGTGAAAATTCTTTCACAGGATATAAATAAAGTTATCATGTCCAAAACGGAAAACTTCGTCATCTATCATTGTTGATTTCTGTTCTTTTGATAGGAAAATGTCACAGCTTGTGTCTTACTTGTAACATGAAGAGCAGAGGCTTGTTATGAGGGTGGCAACTTTTTGTGGTTTGCCACAAGATTATTGATAAACGATCCGTGACCACAGTTCAAACACTGTTTAACTTGATGAGACATTCTCATGCCTTAACTATGTTGCAAATAATCAACAAGAAATTATTACTTGAATGAGAACTTAATTGCATAATGCAATGATGAGTACTTGCAAATAATTAAGACACACAATGTGTACTTAAAATCATTTAAATTTCTTACTCTTCAATTAAAATTTCCTGAATTTTCTTTACATAAACACGAAGAAGTGCAAGAAACATTCCAAATTTCCTCCAGTAAAATATTGCAAACATATCGAAATTATTAAAATATACACGCTTCGAAAACTTTTGAAGTGCTTTCTTTCATTTTTTATGTTTTCAAATGTTTCTCTCCCTCTTTCTGTTTTCATGCATTTTTCACATTAAAAAGGTCACATTGCCAAAACTTCCTGTGCGAAACGAGCATATATAAGTCAGAAAAATACACGCTCGATATTCGTGAAGAGTTATTAATTAAAACCAGCTGCATAACAATGTGTGTTCAGAACAATTCTAGCCCAGTATTTTGTATTTTCATGCGATTATATAACGATGAGAAAGAGAATGAAGCGTAGAGAAGAATACAAACCTCAAAAGCTGTTCTAGCTCACCATTAATTGCGAGCTGTCCCGAAGGAATAATATCAAACGATGGATCTAAATGGGCCAAAAACATCAGCACAAAAAAAAAATGTTTCGAACGAGAATAGAAGGGCAAAAAAAAACGTTTTCGTTGCTTGCTTGCTTCTTTTCGTTTCTGGATCGCTTGAAAGAATAGGAAAAAGAAAAATAAGAATTTTCAATGTGACATTCGTTGAGCCATTTAAAGAAAGTATTCTGAGAAGAGTTAAGAAGACTGGGAAGAAAGGAATTAGAATCAGGGTCAATTGAAGGTTTCCATTTGAAAATAAAACGAGTGAATATTTTTATTTCTTAAATGTGTAAGGAATTGAGTGTTTATGTAACTTTTCAAGACTTTTTTTATATACTTATTACCATAAATATAAGATTAATATGATTGGAATCATAAAGTAGCATGGGCACGATCTTCAATCAATAATAATAAATTTTAAAAGTTCTTTTGAATGATAAATTTTGGTTAACCAACACAATCTACTTACAGCAACATACACACAGCAATGATCACGATCAATCAAAATTGAAAACACAAAAGAAGTAATTTCTGTTTCAATTTTGATTCCATTCTGTCTCGCAGATAATTACTTGGCAATCAATTAAGCAATTTTTTTGTCGAATTTTCTCCTTGAAAATCTTGCGTTTCAGAGAAGCCACAAACTTTGTATCGTTTTTTTTTGTTTAAGTTTAGCAGGGCAATGGGAAAACAAACGATGGTTCAATAAATTAGTTTTCTTAACAAAACATAAAATGTTATTAAAGGTCTAATAGATATAAAAAAGCGAAATAGATCTTTGGTTCAAAATAATAAAAATGTTTTCAAGGAAAAATGAATAAAAAAATGTTAATGATGATCGCGTGAATACTTAGCAAAGTTTAGAGATCGCCGTTCATTTATCTACCTGATAATGCTTATAGCTTAACATAGCCCAATAAAATTCACTCGATGAATCGACAAGCACGAGGAAAGAATTTTATTTCTTTTATTTCCTAGCTTGAGAGAATTTTAAGTTAATGCCTTTTCTGGTTGAAAAAATAATAAATCCACGAAACCAACACAAGTTCGCTCAGCAAGTAAATCCAAAAACAGCAACAGAATGGGAAGCGAGAAAAAAGTTTTTTTTTTCTTCTTCATTATAGCATTTTATTTTTATTTTCTGTGCGTTTTCATCGCGATTCTCTTCCATTCCTTCTTCGCCGAATATTTGACCTACAACCGACATTCAAGAACAGAAAAAAAAGCATTCAGATTATATAATACACGCTACAATGTGCGTTCGTCTGTTTAAATGTAGTTTTTTAATTCTTATGTTTTCTTCTTACCTATTTACTCCGTTTTTGATTATTCATTTTGTTTGGGGTTTAGCAAAAAAAAAACAATAATAAAACAAGGAATGAAAATTTGCGAAATCGATTTTTTATTACTTTTTTTTATTTCTTCCTCCCGCATGGGATTTCATTCAGAATGTCGATTATAGAGTTGAAGTGCAATGTTGTGAAGTTAATAAACGAAATAAATGGGCAGTTTTCATGTTTGATTAACTGAATGATTTCAACGAAAACAACAATCGTTAAAAAAGATTCACTTTCAATGAAGCTAACAAGAAAATATTTAATAAACAAAAGATGAAATGAAAATGAATTCTTTCTTCATTGAAATATATTTGCGTATAAATCTTTCTCTTATTTATTATTTTCTTACTTAATACATGAACGGAATTGAATATAAAATGCCATTTATCAATTGCATGACGCTTAATCATTCGATTTTTAGCTTAGAAGCTTGTTCACCTTTAAATTTTAATCCCCATAACCAATCTATTTATACATTTGCTAAGATTCAATCAATAAAATTTGTTATCTTAAGATTGTTTATCATAAAACATCATGATTAAAACCATAAAAGCAGAGATTTATTATTCAATTGATAAAGTTTTGGTATAAAAGTTGGAGAGTGGCGAAACAATTCGTTCATTCAAAGTCGTGAGTAGAAAACTTAAAACTAAGAATGATGTCATTAAGAATTGTGGCAATTTTATTATTTGGTGTCGTGAGTGTGTGTTCAACAAAGTTTGATCAAGTGGATCAAGAAATAAGCACGAGCCATCATGTTTCAATGTTTCTAGGTAGATAATGGAAGTTTGGATGAATATTTCACTGCTTCATTAATTAACATTGCAGACATTATGGAGAAAGGCTTAATTTACTCATTAAGAAACTTCACTCAAACGGGATATCGTTCTGATTTCTTCAAGAATTTTATTGAAACAATTCCAGAAGATCCAGAAGTGATCTTAGCCAAATTGGAAGAAAATCCGTATGAAAAATTTCTTCTTTGCTTCTTTCATAAATTTTAATTTTTTATAGTGAAAAATTTGTTCTTACGTGTACTGCCTGTCGCGTCTACGTCGCTTCTCTTCTTTCTGATCGTCGTAACAACAATGCATCGCCTGAAGAACTTGCTGATTCCGCATTTGGAATGTGTCGAATTGTCACAGATTTCTCCGATGAAGTTTGTCGTGGCGTCATCGACTTAAATGTCGAGCCAATGATATTTGTCGTTGATTCCCGCCCATCATTGACAGCAACGCAAATGTGTGGACTTGTTTTGCAAGGTGATTGCGGTGCCCTCGATCCAATGTTTTCTTTCACAGTCAGTGTAAGTGCGGGTCCAGTAATTAATCAACCAAAAAGTGTCAGCACTCCAAGAGGTCCAAACGACTTAGTAATCATTCACGTCACTGACATGCATTACGATGAAAACTATCGTGAAGGGAACAACGCAAATTGTATCAATCCAATATGTTGTCGTGTTCGTGATGGAATTCCAAGTAATCCAAGTGATGGTGGAGGCTTTTGGGGAGATTACAGAGTAAAACAAACACATTTAGAATTGAAATTATCTTTAATTAAATTTCATTTATCACTTAGCACTGTGGAACACCTTGGAGGTCAGTTGAAAATACTCTTCGTCGTATAAGAAGTGCACATCCACGTATTGATCTCGTTTACCACACTGGTGACATGCGTAAGTAAATTTTGCTTGTTCTTCATCAACTTTATTAAAGTTTAATCATAATTAGGCGATCATGGAGTTTGGGAAACATCAGTTGCTGCTACACAAAGAATCACAGGTCGACTTTATGACCTGTTCAGAGAAGTATTTGGAAACATTCCAGTTATTCATTCACTTGGAAATCATGAAGGTAAATTAATAAACATCACGTTTTAAATAAGAATTTCTTGATAAGAAACTTTGTTTTGTTTTTATATTTTCTACAGCCCAACCGGTTAATCAGTAAGTACCACGTTATCACGTAATTACTTGCTTGATCTTTGATAACATTTATTACTTTGATGTCTTAGATTTGCACCTTCGACTGTCACTCGTCCAAGCTTATCAGCAAGTTGGCTTTATAATTTCTCAGGTTATATTTAGAAGATTTCCGCTAATATTTAAGACAAATATTTTTTTTAAAGAATCTTTACATTCAACATTTCTTTCATTTGTTTTTATTCAGCTGATACATGGCTTCGACATGGATGGATAAATGCTGCAGCAGCTAGCACGATTAGATTTGGAGGCTACTACACGTTGTTAATTCGTACGGGCTTCCGAGTAATTGTATTAAATAATAATGATTGTTACAAATACAACTGGTGGGTGATGTACAGTCGAAGTGAAATTCAAGGTCAACTTCAGTGGCTTCACAATACACTTTTGGCAGCTGAAGCAAGCAATGAAAGGGTTCATCTTCTCATGCATATTCCATCTGGTGGAAGCAGCTGCTTCAGACCTTGGTCGATTCAATTCCGTCGTATTGTTGATCGTTTTCATATGATAATTGGTGGTCAATTCGTTGGACATTCGCATCGTGATGAGTTTGAAGTTTTCTACGATAGTGCTTCAGCTCAACATGCAATTAATGTTGCGTGGAATGGTGGATCAACAACAGCGTATAACAATATAAACCCTAATTATAATCTTTACTTTGTTGATCCAATACATTACGTAAGTTTTGAATTTATGAGATCAAATATCCAATTAAATAATAATTTATATAAAAAAATTCTTACAGCAAGTGAACGACAAAGAGTCGTACATTTTCTCGATTTCTGAAGCTAATCGAACACCAAGTCAATCACCACGTTGGTTCTTACATTATAATTTCCGAACAGCTTTTGGTCTTAGTGATTTCTCGCCAGCATCGTTAGATCGGTTAGCATTCGATTTATCGAGAAATCGAAACTTGTCAAGAAATTACTGGGTGTTTAGAAATAAAGCTGGTGATCCCATCATGCAGCGTGGATGTGATGACAATTGTTTAAGAAGTCAGGTGTGTCGAATTGTTACAAACGAGTTTCAAGAGCTTCGACGATGCAACCAAGTTTTGGCTGTTTTTGGAACAGTTGCCTAACAAAATCTTTTTCATTTATTGAATGAAACCAAAATGTGCATGAAATAAAGCAGAAGTTTCAGATTCAAGAATTTAATGAAGCAAGTTTCTCATTGATAGATTGGCGATGAAATATTTTCAGCTTCATTTAAGTGGATGTATTTCTAGTTTCTGTTTTCATCACTGTCTTCTTTTTCAAATACTTGAAATCATTTATTCTAATGTGATTTTTTTTCTTCTTCTTAATTAACTTAGAGCTGATCACATGTCATTGAAATGAAAGCAAATTTTAATGTTTCAGCTATCAATAACATCATTGAAAATATTTAATTAAATTAGCAGTCATGATATTGTTGTGAGTGGATTTGATATCAAAATTAAGACTAAGATTGGATTTAGAGTAGGTGGTGCGATTGATATCAAATTCCAGCAGCTTTCATGCATGGCTGGTCTTCCAGGAAGTCACTCCACATGCTTACCCATATTCATTTTAATGTCTCATTCGTCCTTCAAATGTTTCTTTTCATTAGAATATTAAAAAAGCAAGAAGAGAATTTGATAACTTAATAAATTAGCATAATGTTGACCTAATTCACCGAAAATATGTGCCTCGTTGTTTAATGGGGTGTTTAGGCAAATGTTATTCCTTCCTTTCCAAAGGAAACAGAAACAGAAACGAAACAAAATATTATATAATAAGAATAAAAAATAATTTGCGTTCGTCGGTGCTTGAATTTCAATTTAAAATGCGGGTAGGCAACTAAAAACAAAAAAAAAACAAAATAATTTTGGCGGAAGTGTTTGATGAATTTAAAAATTTTTCAATGTAGTTCTCTCGCGATGTTCTTTGTAAGATTGTCCAATCCATTGTTCTACCAGCTCTTTTTAATTCCAATTGACACAAAACACATTGTCGAATTAACTTTTTTCTGATTCTCTGCCATCATTTTCAACACTGAGAAGTGCTGTCAAACGGAAAAACTTTTTGGCGGGTTGTGGAGTTGGAAGTCGTGTAGAAGTCACACTGAATTTAGATCACAAGCCCGCCCTATTACGCTTACTTGCTTCATGAACTACTTGGCAGTTTTATGGAGAGAAACACATTTAGATAACCATAATGAATTGCTGGAACATCAACGCGATAAATATTTCAATGTAACCAGAGAGAGTCAAACTATTTTTATTTCAGTTCAATGCTTGATTTTTCGTTTATTTTGAAGTGAATATCCCAGAAGGAAATTGATGATAGTAAGAACAACACTTCAAAGAAATGCTTTGAAGAGATAACATTGCCTAAGTTACTAGCTGGGTTCTTTATTCAATCTAAAAAACATTTACGATTCTCTAATTTTTTTCTAGCGTTTCTTCTGTTTGAAGCTTGCTTGTACTTGAGAACCGAAGAAAATTGGAATCTTTTGATATTTAACATTTTTTTCAGCTAATAAGCATAAGTATTTTTATTAGTTTATATATTTTTCTACTCGAAAAATATCAAAAAAACATCACCAGCCATAAATTTGTAATTGGAACACATAAACTCCACCGAACCGACTCTCAAGCAGATGTTTTTAATTTTCCCTTCTTCCGAAAATAAATATTTTAATTTATCATTTTATTCCACAAAAAGCAAAAAAAAAATTCTCGGGTTCCGAAGAAATTAAAAAAAAAGAGCAACAAGAAAGAAAAGCGAATTTTGGATATTTAAAGAATTGGCTCAAAATTTTCCTTTCACAAATTTGAAATTTCCCTTTCAATCATGCGGGAGGAGAAAAGCTATCGCTTGCTTAATGAAAATACAATCAACGTTGATTTATTGACTGTGGATCTAAAACCATCTTCGATTTTTGAAACAAGAAAAGGCAACAATTTCAAATATCTCAAAATATCATTAGTTTTCTCCAAGAAAAGATCTAACAAAAGATTTGAGTTATGATTGTGTAAAAATCTTAATGGGATTTTTTTCGATGAGAAGACTTTGCTTGTTAATTTCGTTGCTCCATCTGTGCGTAGTGTCATTCATCATGTCACATTGCACGACATTTCAGAATGTTTATTAGTCAAATATGAATATTCAGAAAGACATAAAAATATATCGCAAAATTGTGAAAGACACAACAATAAAGCGACTGTGGTTAGTTCGGAAGATAAGAAGATTTATTTTGATGTGGATTTAAAATTTTTAGTAAAAGGAATCAAAAATTTGGATTTATTTAATTTCCTTTCAATTTAAATAAAACATCTGAATTTCATTTCCAATCAAAAACATAATTTTCATAAAAAAACGTCACAAACTTATGACCACAACCACATTTCATTTAATTTAAAATCGCGCCTTGCTTCATCAAACCTAAGTATTCCCGAAATTTCATCAAAACACGCCAGACAAGAATTGCACATCGACAATTGTGCATTTACTTTTTCTTCTTTTTATTTGAATATTTCATTTTTGTGCATCACATAAAACCCGTTTTTCAAAAGCCAGAACAAAGCAAGAACCAGCAAAAATTGTGCTAGCGAACATAATTACAGCGATATGCGAATTTTTTATGTAGGTGCACTCATACATGTTATTTGACCGTGAAAATTCTCAAAGTTATTATGTACACACGCTCTGGAAGAAGCGCAGGGAGATGAAGAAAACGAGATATTACATGAAATCCACTAACACTTCCACACTTAACTATTACACAATTTTCTGCAATAGGCACAGTGAACGTTTTCTTCTTCTTTTGTATTATATCATACGAGAATGAAAGTTTTCATTTTTGTAGCGCAACTGTTGTGTTGCTTCACAACATGTTGCTTGATTGCAATGTTTCACTTCTGACTCCCCTCTATACAACAATGCATTAAAGCATTGCAAAAAGTCAAAAAAGGGGAAGAAATCTTCTGCAATGCTTTTTTAAAATGCTCTATGTACGATGAGAATTTGCTGTTCTGTAAAAATGAAATGAAAAAAGTTATTTTTTCCGTGAGCATTATGTGTCTGAATTCTGGTTTTCACTTCTTGCTTCTCGTACATAAATACAATTGTTAAAAAATTCTTGCTTCACGTTCCATGTATACATAAGATTCATTTAGCCATGAAAGTTTACACCATTTGAGCGAGAACAAAGAATTGGGCGAGAAGGAGAACTTAATGGCAGAGCGAATGCAAATTCTGGCAGAACAATCTGAAATTTATGTTCTTTTTTCAGTGGAGTTAATTTCGACGCTGTTAAGAGGAAGCCTCATAATATTCAGGTCTTCTTGTTCCATAATTATCACAAACGATGCTAATCAACGACTCATCGAATATTAAATGCACCTCAGGCTGTAGGTGAAGTTGCTTTCATATTTCGCATTTTAAACACGCAACGTTTCTCTACTCTTCGTTCTGTGTTATGCATTCAAAAATTATGCAAATTCAGCCGATGTGATTTAAAGCTGAAATGCAAAAAAATAATACAAGTAAAAAATATGGCGACGCAACGATTGAATAATCGGCAAACGAGCCGGTAATATTTTTTCTCTGTTGTTCTGATTGTAAACAAGTTTTTAATAGTATTAGGTAGTTTTATTTTTAAAATTTTAAATGATTAACTCGAAGTGATGTCACGATATTTAAAATATCTACATTGTGATAAATTGTGAATATCATGAAAATAAATTTTATGACATTCATAAATATTCTTTACATGGAGACATCAATAACAGAGTCGGCCTATGGGCTTGTTCCACTGTAGAATATCAAATGATTTTTTGTTTATTCAATCTATATACCTACATCTTACTTTCATTTGAAGAACATAGGTATATAAAGAGAATTTGCACAAGGAAAAAATAGAAAACCAGTTTTCATCAAAATAAGAAACTGCAGAATAAATAAATACGAAAGAAAAAATGACGACGAATCCCCAAACTGGTTCTATAGATGTGCGGATGAGAAGGAAGGTAAATAATAATAATAATAATCTTCATTTCCACTGGCTCTGTTGTTTCCTTGATTCTATGCTCCATCTCGCTTTCACTCACCTCGGCCTGATCTTGGCTTACATTTGAAATTCTTCATTTCTTGTCTTTCTTGTATCTTTGTGTTTTATTCTTATTCTTATTTTTGTTTAAGAAGAAAGAATGGCAGAATGAATGCTTTTTGCTAGATGTGGATGGAGAGAAACTGGGAAGAGAAAAATAAAAATAGGAAGAAAAAATAAGAATAAGAAGCTTCTGATGTTTATTTCAGGCAACATTATAAAATTATATCTTACGTAACCCATTTATGAACGACGAGCCTTGCATGTGTGCCTTGATTGGCTTATTTTCTGCTCATTCTCTTTTGGTTTGGGATTTCTTCGCTTATTTCTGTAAAAAATAGCAAAGTTCTGAAAAATACACATCAAAGATAAAAATTAAATTTACGAATCATTAAAATAGACAAAACCAAAGTGAAACTTCTAAAATGTGACGAAATAATTGCTGTGTGAGATCGTGAGATTTCACGCTTTTAATTTGAATTGTAAATTTGTTTCGTGCATGTCAGAATTAGGCAACGAGTTGAGTTTACTGATCGTTTCAGATTGAGAAGATAAGACGAGTAACATTGTCGATCGTTTACTGTACTAATGTTTAATATTATTAAAAAAAACGAGAATCGTATGTCCCAATATCTTTATGACTAAAGCAATACATATTATGAGCTCCTTAGGAACTGGTTTTAGTCTCAGATATTGAAACTCATATCTAACGTTAGTTTATTCAACATAAGTCCTAAATCCAATTTACATAATAATATACTTTGGCCAGCGTAATAAAGCAATCGGACTAAAACATACGAACTAAACACGCCAAAGAAGACCACGATGAAACAGCATAGAGACCTTGAAACCTTGAAACTTTTGTTTTCTATGCTGCTTGCTTTTATTTTTTTCTTCTTCCATCTTCGCTTCGTAGTTTTTATTTTTTATTTCGATGGAAACAATCTAACTCTTTTTTTTATGCTTCAATTAAACTGACTGGCAGTTGTTTGTTGGTGGATTTTTTTTAAGTATTCAACTCGCTTACCTGCTTCTCGTTTTTCAAGTTTCTTCTTTTTCAACCGGCAATTTTCGTGACGGTCAAAAGAAAGATAGATTCATGTCGCTTGAATTATATGTTGGCAAAAGAAAAGGCTTCGGTTTGAAATTAATATCACAAATCGATTTTTCAAAATTGCATCAACGGCGCATTTCAATGGAAATATTTCCAACTTTCACTTGCAAAAGCCTTGATAAGTTTTTCCAGAACCAGGAAAAGTTTGCTTTCATTGAACAGAAGTTTTTGTGCATTGTGTTAGTTGAATGCTTCCTCGTAATAACATTTTCATTGACGACGTGTCTTCGAATAGTTTTTGTTTCCTTTTTCGAAAAGCTAAAGAACGCATGTTCAAAAGCTTTTCCTTTTCTCCTCGGAAAAATAAAAACTTCTTCTATAAATAAATGAAAAATCATTGTGCAAAACTTTTTTTCTAGATATTCTCGTCATCGCGTCTGTGTTGCAATTTTCCTTTCGATTTTGTCCTCTTCGCGTGTTGCATGCGCGCATCGCATAGTTTGTGAATGTAGTTGTTGGCCGGCTTTGAACTTGTATGCGATGAGCGAAAACATTTTCTCGTGTATGAAAGTGAAAATTTAGCATTGAAAATGAAGGGGAAATGGTATTTCCAAGCGGGAATGTTTCGTTTTCAATTTCAAGGTAGTGGATTTTTGTAGTTGTGTCTGTTAGGGAAAATAGGAAAAAAGGTGAAAAGATTTTTTTGCGGATGTTCTACAGAAGCTCTTTTTCCTCATCGTCAACTTTTCCTTCTTCACCAATACTGCTTCAAACCAAAACTACTTGACTGTTTTCTCGCTCACTTGCAGCAAATTTTCCGCTTTTCATTAAAAAGATTTGATAAGGAAATGCGGCGCTGTTGGCGTCGGCTTTCGATTTCTGTTGACAACTTTCACGGACACTTTTCCATACTGATGATGAAAGTTTTATTTGATTTTCCAAGAACTTCACAGCTCATTAAATAAAACGTCGAAATAGAGAAAAAGCAAACTTTTGTTTTCATTAAATTCTCAGAAATTGCGAGTGAAATCCAATCTGAGTTACGTAACAAATTAAAATTGTTATATACCGAGCAAAGGGAACAAAAAAATTCCTTAATCGAATTAAACTTGTATATAATTCCAGCGGGAACATGAAAAGGCATGAAATACATTGCAAAATCGCTTTTATTGTTGTTCCTGCAATTCTCGTTCTCGTGATGTTTCTGTTGCATTGTTGTTGTTGATGATTCTTTCCTTTTCGTTTTCGTCCGAATGAATGTTGTGTTGTTGTTGTTGCGTGTGGCTTTTACATAAAGCAAAATAAAACAAACGCACTACTACACGCGCACCGAACCCCTCAACCCATAGAATATTCTGTCGAAAAAAAACATTTTTTCTTCTCTTTTATTCTGTGTTACTATTATGTGCTTCGCTTAGTCAAAAAACAACCGTCGACGAGTGAATACACGTAATCGGTCGCTCCCTAAATGAGAAGTTTAATATTTTTTCATTTCCAACAATTTTAGCAAAACAAATAGTTGGAAAATAAAAGTTATTTAAGATTGAAAGTTAAAAATTTTCAAATAATTCTCTAGATTGCAAAACTTAAACTATCTTTTCGAAAAGACGCTAGTCTTGGAAGCAGTTCTATGGCTATTTGTGAAGTTGTGCGAAAAGTAAAAAAGAATCGAAAGTGAATATTCCAGTCGTCGAATAAAAAGTGAAAACACACAGAAAACATTTGAGAACTTAAATTTCGAGATATCCATAAAAACTTGTTGTTTTCCTCATCTTAACTTTTGAAGCTGATGAGAAAACGAGAGCGTAAAATATTTTCATAAAATAAAATTCGCGAACTTTTTAAAACATTTTTTTTCTTATTCGTTTCAATTTCCAAAAACTAAAATAAAAAAAAATCTTTTCTACACTTCTTGTAAACAAATTGGAGAATAAGAGAAAATATAAACGAGTATCACGAGATAAAAGCTCGAAAAGTGTTGATTGCCAGTGTGAGTGAATTGAACAATAAAAACGTTTTTATCAGTGCAAAAACAAAAAAAATTGAGAGAATTTTTAAAAGTTAATTTTCTGCATTTATATACACAAAAAAAAATCGTAACATAAATTTGTTGCTCATCGTTACGCGATAGCAGCAAGAATCAAAAACAGTTTTAAGTAAATATTGCAAAAATAAATAACAAAATTTCTTGATAGCAAAACGCGTATGATTAAAACTTTTCCTTCAACTAATTGCTGAATTTCATTGCTTCACACAAATTAAATTCAATATATAAAAAAAACTTTAAAAGTGAACTCAAATTAAAATCTCTTGCGTAAGAAATAAAAAAATTAAACTTTTAAAATTCAAACACGATTTATTTTTTCGGGCGTGAATGAAGCAAAAAAGAGAATAAATAAGAAGCGAAAAGAATAAATTTGAATAAACAGGCGAATTTATTCATGCTCGCTAGCAGGGAAATGAGAGTGGGCAGAAGAATGAAACTGCATTGTTCTCGTCAGTGAAATAAGATTCCGATAAGAAACATAAAACTTTTTTTATATTCCTGTAAGAAATAGTTTTAATTTGGAAAAAAAGTAACTTTTGTCATTGTGACAACTTTCAAATGTATCAACATCCACTACTGCTCATGGCACCTCGACGTGATAGTACAGAGACCGTCACCTCTTGTTCAAACATGAATATGCAACCTTTTCGATGTTGTGTGCCAACCGGCGATTGTCTTAAAAATAATACAATTGACTTCGGACTTGTAAGCAGCGATCAATTGTATGATGCCGTGAAAATAATTTGCACGAATGAAAATTGCAATGCAGGGCAGTATATGCACGCTGAATGCTTTGAACAGTGGGAACAGAGCGTGTTGAACTACCTCAAGTCAATCGGACGTGCACGCTCTTGGTCAGATAAACAACGTCAGCAAAACTTGTGGAACAAGAAAGGCTACGATTTAGTTTATAAAGTTTGCGGCTGCCGCTGCGGTCGTGGGCATATCAAAAAAGATCTCGATTGGTCGCCACAAATCACTGCTAATCTCTTTGGAGCTCGTTTAGATGATGAAGCATCTAAGAAGCGAAAGAAAAAGAATAAAAATAATCAGAAACCGGCTTTGTCGCTTACGACATCGACACCAAACGGCACGAGCGCTTATCAATCGAATCAAATGCTTAAACTCTCGACAAGTATCGTTGATAATGTTTGCAACATTTTAGATCAGCAGTTGTCAGTTACAACTCCTCCACAATCTACAATCCGAGGACGTGCTGGGAGTTTGACATCTAGCAATGGATCATCATCTCCAGCGTCATCCGCTAACGATGAAAGCAACTTGTCAGTATCACCGATTCAAAACCATCGCGCAATCATCAAGCAGCAATATCTGAAGCACGGCGAAATGTATTCCGATCGTATTCGGTAAGTTATTGATTGATTTTCAATTTTATTTTCCTCGTTTCTTTTCACATACTTAAAGTCGTCTTTGAGTAAAAATATTTTTGTTAAAGAATTTTTTTTCGGAGGGAATCGCCCAAAATGTTGTCAATATTTGTTAACAGCAAACACCCATCCATAAACGGTGATAACAAAATATTATATAAACAGAAAAAAAATCATTTATTTTTATTCCTATGAAAGAAAATTAATGAAGTTTTTCTCTTAAAAATATTCTGATGAAAAATCTTCTAAAAATCTTTCGATTGTCTCGAATCTACAACTAGATGCAAATAGATGCGGGGGAAGAAGTTTATTTGAGATGCGAGAAGGAAAAAAAAAGTTTAATTAGCGTATTTGAGAATCAAACAAAAAGTTATTCATTCTCGCTATTTTCTTAAGACATTATGGAAGTGGAATATTTAATGAAACTCTCATAGTGAGTTTTTTTTTCCTATTGTCGTTGTTCGCTTTAGAAGCGAAAACATTTTTGTTTCTATTTTGCACCCTCATAAAATTTGCCGGAGATTGAGGCAAGAAAAACTCTCGGATGAAATTTCCTTATCATTTGTTTTCTCTCGCTCTGTCGGTGCTGTAGGGTGGAAAGCCGGCTGTGTAAGAAAAGGACAAAACAGTCGATAATTTTAGGCCTCTCTCAGAAAAACGAGAAAAGAAGAATTTTCAAGGATAAGAAATTGTTGAATACGAAAATCGACACAAGCACAATTTTTCTTGAGTTGTGTTATGATTTTTCTCGGCTTTCCCTTCGTCTCTCAACGAAAAAGGCAAACAGAGAAAAATCCGAGAGATTATAAATCTGAAAAGTTGTAAGAATATGAATTTGTCAGTAACGTTGTGCGTTCAGTTAATAAAGAAGAATTAAAGTGACTTAAAAAGATCTAAAATTAATGAGCGAATTATAATTGAAAAGTAATTTAAATTATTTCAACAATTTCCATAAACAAAATTTGTCTCAAGTCGAGCACTTAAGCTAGTGATTTGGAAAAGAAAAATCGATGTTCATCTGGCCTATGAATGGAAAAATCTTCACCTCATCAACATGTAAGCTCACTCATCGTAGAAAGAAGAAGAATTTCGGCACATGAAAAATTTTGTCAGAAAATTTTATGGAGAAGAAAAGAAAAAGAAAAATTGCAAAGTAAACGACTTGGATGAGATAACGTTGGGAGAGCGTAAAGACAACAAATTTTTTTTCTTGCTATTTTTATAAAACTCGTACACGCAGCAAGCGAGAGAAGAAGAAACAGCAATCGAGAGAAACAAACTTCACCTTGACCTATCCGCAAATATAAAAGTAAATATACTAAAGAAAAATTTTTACATGTGCAATGAGTCGCGAGAGAAAAATAATCAAACTTTGGTGACTTCTTTTTCTTTTCTGTTTAGAAATTTATTTTCTTTTTATGCCTCATATCGAAGATTTGTTTTCGTGTTGTGAGAAGGAAAATACTTGGGGAAAAATAGAAAGAAAAATTCTTTAAATGTATTCAATCCGATGAGAGTGAATTTTTGTGCTTAGTTTGCTGTAGGAATTTCTTTTCCTCTCATTAAAGATTCAACAACGAGAGGGTTATTTTTGCGATTATTTAGACGAAGGCCAAAGAAAGTCCGTAATATTGAAGTCTATGAAGATAAGAAAGGAAAAATTTCTCCCATGGAAGTCTATGATAACTTTTGACGACGGTATTTTTGCTTTTCTCATCTCTTTTCATCTTCTCGATGCCATCGCTCGCCCTTGAACTTTATTTAGACGTAAAGCTTGTAATGTTTTCGACCTTCCCTGGGTAGAGACATCAAGTGGTCAATTATTCTCTGAGGGTGAATATTTAGGCTTTGTCATTGGCATCTTTTGTGGTGGTTACATATTTATGTTTGAGATATGCGGATGGAAATTTTCGGAAATGACTTGGGTTTGTGTGAAAAGCCTTAACTGAAATGATTAAGTGTCACATTCGGAGGGAACTCTGGTTTCCTTTCTATTTCGAAAAGTATTCTTAAGTTGATGGTAAATCTTTTTAAAGAGTATCGTTAACCACAAGAGTCTTAATTACAGATTCTTAATGGAAGAAGAGCGCTAAGCTTCTCGTTAATTATTGCAATTTATTGAACCAAAGGTGGAAGAAATGAGAATCCTCGCCATAGATATTTGTCTTCTTTTTTTCGCAGCTTGAAATAAAAAGAAAAAAAAATTTTCGCCTCAAGAAATGGGAAAAGTAAGAAAATTAATTTCCGATCGACAGATGAAGGGCGAAAAGCGAGGAAAAATTTGAATTATTTTCCAGCGCACCAGATGATTATTAAGTGAAAACTTGAATAATATCTCGGAGATCATAAATCTTTCTATTTTTGTTTCCAATTTTCCACACTCGTTCTGTGTTATGCCGAAGCGCAACAAGATGAGGAACCATCCGATTATTTCATTATTTTATTTTTGTTGGTATTTTGGAGAATTTTTCTCTCATTCAAGTCATATTTTACACGCGACTTGAGTGCTTTTTTTCGCCTTGGACGATATGTCTTTTGAAGTTCTTCCAATTGCCAACGAAAGATTATTTATTTCGTAATTTCATCTGACTGCGTGAGAGAGTTATTTGCATTAACATATTCGATTTCATAAAGTGTTTTCTCTTTTTCAAATATTTTTTAAGCACTTTAAAATGATCCAAGTAAATGTTTTCATTTCTCACTGTTTGGTCTATCCGAAGAAAAAAGAAAAATTGAAATGAAAATCATCTGAGAATGCTTAATTGAAGCACATCGAACAACACTTCAGAAAAATTTCTTCTCCAAAATTATGCGATCGTAAATTTTCAGCTTCGAAATCACGCGGCTATGATCCATAATTTATGTCCCTTCATTTCAACTCTAATTTCTCAATTACGAGAATCGTAAACAAACGCTTCTTGTATTAAAAATTAAATGAATGATGTCATTAATGTTTAGACTCTCATTCAGATCAATGTATTACATCTTGAAAAAACATTTTCTTCTTCATCTTATAAAATAAACAATAAATTAATTCTGGTAAGAATTTTTCTATTTCATGTCCGATATTTTTTCAACACATCTTTTTTTGTGCGACAAGATTTTTCACGTTAATTATGTCATTCATTTAACGTTTAAACCTCGAAGTGAGTCATTAAGTCATTTCACATTTTTGTTATTTTTTTTTAATTCTTCTTTTTTTGCGTTTTACGTTCCAAAATAGTTAAGTTTTATTTCTTTTTCGTTAAGTAGAAAACATCATTTGACAGTGAATTGCGCAACGACTTTAATATTAATCTTTGAGATCAACCTAAACAAACAAAGCATTAACATTGGAGATATTTTTTTTTTGCAAAATGCCACCTGAATTAAGTCGGAAACCCAAATTTTGTTCTTTTGTATCACTTGTCCTTTTTAAGTCGTGTTTGTTAAAGTTTTATCACTCCATCTAGGATTAAAATTTAATGTAATAATTCTGTTGTATCTTCTGTAATATCAGGTAGCCGAAGCATAGGATGAAGTAATAGTTTCGTTATGCGATAGTCTCGTGCTTTAAATGAAAATTAATATTGAAAGCATAGCAGAAGCTTTTATAAAATATGTTTATGGACAGCATCAGCTCATAACAATAAAAGTAATTTTAATAAATTTGTGTGCTGCTTTTGATCACCATGGGGTTGTCTTTTGGGGAGAGCAGAACGTGGATGGAGCGTGAAGAAAAAGAACACAAATTATAGTTCTCGTGTTGTTAATAAATAAGAGTCAATGTGTTGTTCCGTTCTCGCCTTCATTCGATTGTTTCCAAGCAAGAATATTTTCAAAGTCGCTAGGTGTTTTCAACTTAAGTTCCATTAAATCTAATCACGACTTCATGCCGCTTTAAACAGTTTTAATTGTATGTTTCAATCGAATGAAAGTATTACAAACTAACCGACACAAAATAAAATTCCAAATAGGAAACAAAATCAATTGGCATCCAATTGTCTTCAACAACAAAACACAAAATCTTTCCTACAAATTATTAATTCTATACCAATGTTTGATTCTTCGGTTGATGAACATTTGACCAACAATTTGACTATTTTCATTATGAAATGAAAACAACTGAATGATTCACTTTGGAGCGTGAAGTAGGAACACGACAATTAAATTATAAAAATAAATAAATTAAGTTCGAATGAAGAGAATCAAATATATTGTTGTTGAATTTAATAAGGTCATAGTTAATGTGGCATTTGGTTAGAATTCTATTTTTTTGCGTTAGTTTTGTGAGTTAAACTCGAACAAATAAACACGATATAAGTACATATTTTGTTACCGAGAACGACACGATCGCTTCGCTCTATAGGCGACGCATAATTAATGCTTAATGTGCTGTTACGAAACTCTTTTTTTTTCTTCTCCTTCCTTTGCCTTGTCCATCAAAGATTCTTTTCGTTCTTAATAAATAAATTGTTTGAAGAAAAAAAATTTTTAAATCACTTCCAGAGGAAAATAATTCCGACACTGATTCGAATACGGTGCGTTGTGGTAAGCCGCTAAGACGAGTGGGATTTGTGTGAAGTTGAACATTCATATTCTGCTTGTAAGCGTATGTTTTATGCATCATAAATCTCAAGACTCTTCTGGTCTTTCATCATTATTTTTAATAGCTTCAAATTGGAAAATGAAAATGAAAATTCGTCTATTTATAGTGACTTTGTGATTTTATTCTTTATTTCTATATTTTAATTGCTTCATTGTCGAGAGTGTTTTTTCAATTAGAAAAAAAGTCACTGAAGCATTTCAAATGAGCGAATGCTGCAAGAATTCCACTTTCACAAAACCAGAACTTGACTTATTACATCATCATCAGAAAAAAATGTTGTTCGTTTAATGACTGATAATTTAAATAATTAAAAAATGAAAATTGCAATCGGAAGACGAAGAATGGAAAAAGGAAGAGAATATAAAAATATTTTCAATTAAAATTCATTGCCTTAAAAGAAGAAACTTAAGATGAAACTTTGAAATCCATCATCTTCATTCATATGAATGATTGAATAAATAAGAAGAATAAATAAGAAGAATTTTCTTAAGCAAAGCAAATTTTCTGATTCGAAAGAATTGTTTTCTTGTGTGCAAGTTAAAAACAAGAAAATTTTTATTTAGTGAAATATTCCAACGCTTCATGGAAACTCGTTTTTTTTCTGAAATCATCATAATTGGGTTTAAACAAATATAAAGCTATTTGCATTCGCAAACGAAAGAAATCTTCTCGTCTGAGACTCTTTCGAATTCACTCAAGTTAAGCGCTCAATTTATATACTTTTTTTCTTCTATTTCTTCAAGTGGAAAAGTCGAAAAGTGACCTTGAACTTCAATTCAAAAAGATAATTAAACTTTTATATTTCTTTCAAATAAAGATTTGTCATTCTTCGGTTGTCAGTTGAATTAACATAAAATTGACTTTTTTGACATTTTTAAGAACGATTAACTACTTCGAGCTTTTGTTGATCAGATAGTGAGACAAGTTGTCACCTTTCTGGAAACCTCGACTTGCCTCGAGCGGTGATTGAAAGCTTTCTGATAAGAAACCGACAACAATGTCGACACGAAAAACACAAAACGTGCGCTTACAGAAAATTATTAATTAACCCACATCAATGTAACTATCTGAAAAAAAAAGTCTATAAATAAACATCGCAAATTTCTCGCACAACGAGAGTCGCTTAAAAGCCGGTTAGTTTATTCAATTTTATACATTCGCAACGTCATATTCGCTTTATATGTACGACAATTTTCAAGTGTGCGATGAAAGGCATCATCGACACTCGCGAGAACGATGAAAATATAAAAACTCGATATCGTGATGACTCGGAAAGGCTCAAAAAAGCAAATGCAAACTTTTGTTTTGTTTTTTTTTCTGTTAACTTAAAATTATTGTTTGCGTAAAGAATCTTTTAGTGTGTTATTTGAAAAAGTTTTATCCAAACAAAAGCTTACACAGTGAATTCATTATCTTCATTTATCAGTTGTTACGACTTATTGAGTAATCACGAGCCACAGAATTATCTAATTACAAACCATAAAGGCAAGGAAAGAAAATTGTTTTGAAATGACGATTGAAATTGTCGCTCGACATTTAAGACTTTTTTCTAAACTTTGGAGCAATCATCACTTCATCTCATCGCCAACTCAGGTCACGTCAGTTTGCGGCAAAAGAACAACATTTATGGACTCTCTGCTGATAGTCGAGAAGTGAAGATTTCAAACGTTTGTGGAAAGTAAAAGCGAAAGAATAACAAAGCAAAATGTCACAGTTTGACGCGACTTTTAAATCTTCCAGCGTTCTCTCATCGCGTTCCAAACACATAAGTAAACTAACTCCATGCTGTTGTATTCAACAGAGGCAACACATTCATAAATGCCAAAATAAAAAAAGAGGCGAAATAATATTTAAATTAAAACAGATGTTAATGGTGTGTTTGTTTTCAATGTGCGCGCGTTGAAGGTCACAGAAATGACAAATTCTTTATTTACAAAACATGCGAAAAAAGAAGAATCGTCGATGCGATAGTGGGGAAAATATGGGCTCGAAGCTTGACAATGGAAGCGACTTTGTCGAGGCAATAAAGTCATTAAAGAAGATAAAAAAAGCTTAGCTTAACAAATATTTTTAATACATTAATTTTATTTTCCACATGAATTACTTCAATCAATCTGATCTGAAGATCTCTTATTTGAAAATTCATTTGTGTCATAAAATATAATAAAAAAACGTCATAATACATCACGTCTCATTGTTTACTACACGCGTGTTTGTAATTTTCTCTCTCTCCCCTCCTCTGATTCTCGTTTGTATCTTTGTTGGTAATAAAGCTTCGTAGCGAAACGAAACGAACAAAAACAAATCTTTTTCGTCACGAACTTAAGTTGAAAACTTCAAGTTCGAAATTTACCGGCTTAATAAAATTACATTTTAATTTAGATTTTATGAGCTGCGAAGAGATCAAATCAGATCTTGATGAATTGATAAATGACTGCTTGTTCATGTACAGATGCTTGCCCTCATCGTCCATGAAGTTTTGGCTATTCAAAAGCTTTGTTCTTCGTCAATGTGACTACTAACCCAATTTTAATCAAACATAGACTTATGAATGCCTAACTCAAGTTAAACAATTATATTTCTTTTGTATTTAGTTAATGTTTCAACGTTAAACCTTCATGAATTCAAAGACTTTTAATCCAAAGTTCTCTATTTTCTACTATTTAGTTATTCTGCTGTTTATTCTTCCTTCGAATTAATTTAAATTTTAATGAAAATGAATGTGACTAAAATAGATAATTAACGGAAATATTTCTCCGCGATAAGTCGCAAGCTGAACTCGACTTGGTTGGTTGCTTTTCAAGGTCTCAATTTACCGGGAAGTTGATGCACGACATATACGGAAATTGCGTGGGAGGACGTAGGATTTTTATTTTCAACTTGTAATGTTTTCTGTCTATAAAAGTTCGATGAACTGTTTAAAGTATTAGATAATTAAATTAGTTTGTCTTTCAAATATCGATCAAAGGAAGAAACATTTCTCAAATTTCGTTAACAAACTCAATAGACTTTCAGAACACAAGACAGAAAAAGTAAAAGAGAGACAACGGAAGAAATAAAATTTGCGGCAAAAGAATACAATTGAATGATTTTGGAAGAAAGGATTTATGTTTTCGTCTTCTTTCCAACATTATTGATGGTTGGATGGAAGTAAAAAGAAAAGTAAAACAAAAATAAAAGGAGAAAAGCGATGAAAAACGAAAACGAATGCAAATGTCGTTTCGAGTACGTCGGGGATTTATTGAATCATAAAGACACCTTAAGAATAAATTGCTTTCGCCACCAAATCTCGCCCATCGCCTCTCTGTCTTCGATTTCCATTGCCACGAAATCCAGAAAAATATATATCTCGTATTTCGTTACTACATGAAACCGGTGAAGCTAAGAAAGATATAAAATTTAATTTGTCTTTTGAAGCAGCAGAGTATAATGCAGATATAAATTTTCGTTCTGATGATTCTCGTGTTCTTGTTCGGTTTTGCCCTTTCTTTCTATCATGTACAAAGGTGGAATGCTTTATTCAAGTTAAAATAAAAAAGAAAGCTTTTGAATGAGGGTTTGATTATTGTTGGATGGTTTCTTTCATGCATGTAGGAGTTGAAGAAGAGTAGAAAAAAATGGGTAAACCAGACGAGAAAGAACGAGCATATCAACTCCCAACATTTTTACATGAATTGCTTCTACTTCGATTCCTTCTTTTATTTTATTACGCTTTTTGATATCGGTGGAAAATCTAAATAGAAATACATTTCTCCTTTCATCTCCGATATTTCTTTAACATTCCCCAAATAGTTTTACGCGAGTCGAGCTTTCCCGTCTGCTTTCTAGCTGAGAAGTTAACGAAGGAAAAAGAGTGGATTGTATTTTGTATCAATGAAATGACATCATTTGCTTTGTACTTTAAACATTTTAAACTAAAAGTCTTAAATTTTGTCTGGAAAATCTTTTTGCATTTTAATCCCTTCATAAACTTTCCATTTCAATCTTTTAGAATCAATTAAATAAATAAATATCTTATTGAA